TAGACAAATCGGACATGTGTCCACAATACTTAGCTACGTAGGCAACCCACACACCAATCCGACAAAACCCGGGTTGTGGGAGACAATGTTTGCTATAAAAAGTTTGAAGAAGTAAAAAAAATATTTTGTAGTAAATCTTTAACTAGTGACCAATAGAAATTGTTTTAAATAAGTTTACATTTATGTTTTAGTAAGTTAATACTAATTTGTAAACTATAAGAACTTCCGTTGTTGAGTATGAATAGTTTGTCTTAGGTTATGTATGGCAAGTGTTAATCGTTTATCAGTGTATGTTGTGTTTATAGATCAAAATTTTTATATAGTTCAATATTGTTGATGTAGATTTTTTTTTTTTTTTCGAGTTGGGTTCTAAATTTTCGTGAGATTTTTGGGAGAATATGGCCGCTAGAGTCGAGAATTAATCAGATGGCAAACAATAAAAATGATTAAGATATTGAGTGGTCGAGAACATTCTGACGCTTAAGTCAATAACTTAAACATCAGAGTTGGAAAAGAAGTTAGATAGTGAGATTAATGATTCACTTGGTTTACGTTTAGTAAGTGTCCTTGTTTGTTTCGGATTCAAATCTCTTTTCCATTGAGATAACAAGACATTTATAGAATCCAAAAATATGTTAGTTAATACCGGTCCTGAGTTTTAAGTAGCCGCAAGCTAAAAAAAATAAATGGACCGTTTTTTAACTAAAAAAATTTAATAATTGTATAACTAAAAAAAAATGGCCGCAAATTAAAGAAAAATTTTATGTAAAAAAATAGGGTAGCAAGCTTATGTTTATAGTGCTTGGCCTCAAGGCCGACTTTGTTAGTTATAATATGTATATGTTGTGTATATATTATCGCCTTGGAACTTGGAAGGAACAAATATCTAGCGGATGTGAAAAGTTAATATTGAGGATTCTTTAAAAAACTTAATTACAACTCGGGCTATTGTATAAGAATTTATGGATTCGTATGCGATTAATTACCAGAGTGTAAGATAGTAACGTAAACTCTCAAATTTTGTATTAATTGAGACCGAAGCCACACCAAATGAGGGGATTGGCAGATTTGACCTATGATTTTGCAATAAAAACGATTCCCTAATTTGCAATATATATATCGATTTTAGAAATTTTTGTAATTATTAAATACTGGAAATAATTGTATAATGTTGGTGATGATGTGGCTCCACCATTTGGGCTCTTATAGTGTAGTCTTCCCCATGTGACCAAAGATACGAGTATAGTGTTAATACACCAAATATTAGTTGTTTAATATATTCAAATTTAAAAGGAACCTCACTAACAAAATTTAAGGATTTTATAGAATTAAACACGAGTAAAGATTCCCGAGATATGTCTACACGAGAAATGGACTCAATCATTTTGATAGCTACGTCGTCAAAAAGATTAAAATTAACCTGTTTTAAAAAATAAAGAAAAACAAATCTTATGTTAATGATCCTAAATTATTGAACAAAATAATAAATGAAAATGGAGGTGATAGTCGTATAGACTAGTTATCTTGCGTGGGCATAAACTTTTTTGGCAAAATAAGCTAGCAGATCATATATAGTAATTGGTTAATTGTTATAGTCTTATTTTCTTTCTTTGGTTTTTGTTTGATTGTTTTGGTAATTTATCTGTATGATATAAATGTATAGAATATATTATATTTTCAAAGTTTCCTACGATTACTTTACTTATCAATCCGACATTCTTTAAATTGTAGCATTAGTAGTAATTTACCCGTATAGAATGTGACAAGAACTAATAACATATGACTATCATTCTCTTCGTGAGATTGATTACAAGTACAACACGTACGAAAACGTCTTCTCGAATAATGTTATAAAAATAGTTTCTTTTTAAGTTGGAAAATAAAAAAAATAAAAACAAAGAAAAATATATTTTATTATGAAAAGTATTTCTATACTCAATCTCGTGAGAATTAACGTGAACGTTACAAGAAACTGACTCCTCAAATAATGTTATACATATGTACTTGCACAAGCTATTTTCATATGTGGGAAAAAATGTATGATATAAAACAGTGATATCACAGTTGCGTTACAAAATTGAAAATTGAAACATAATTCATTATAATTCCGTTAGAAAAGAAAAATGAAGATGAACAAAGGAAATGGTCCCACCCTTGTTACAAAAAGAAAAAAGGAAATGGACCCATTAGCCGATAAGGGGTTCAATGGCAAAATAGTCGGGACTACAAACAAAAGCATCTTTATAAATGATGAAACGGCGGCGTGTGGGGGCGCAGGTGTTAATAGTGCGCATGTTTCTTTGTATAGCCTTTACCGTGTGAGAGTGAGATGCTATGAAAAAAAAAAGGATCAAGCGTGTGAGTTCGTGGAGGGTCCGTTTCCAGTTCGGTTCGATTTGGCTCTTATCGGCTCAGATTTGTTAGTTTTGACTTTTAAGTCTCTTGGCTCATTGACTTTTTACAACCTTGAGTGTTTCGACTGCCTGTCCCAGTCTAAAGTCGGCAAGAGATCTTCGAGACTTCCATATTTTCAGTATCTTGTAGATCAGTTGTTATTAGATTGTTAAACAAACCCGACTACAATATTAGGTACAGAAGGATCATCTTTTCGAATGAGCATATAAAAAATTCAAAAATCTATATAAAGAACATCTGATAATATTTTTTTTTGTAACAAAATAATATTTTCGACTGATTTGAATTTGAATTAAACACATAAAACTTAATATTGAATTTTGAACAATTTACACACGTATTCTCAAAATATGGTGAATGAATGATCGTCTTCAAACTGAGCTACACTGAATCACTTAGGTTTCTATTTGAGTAATTATTGAGAATGTATTAGATGGTTGAGTTATTAACAATCGTATCATGTATTTTTGTTTTTTGTAGTTGAAACTATTGATCATTTTCATTTTTTATTTATAATTATCTTACAACAATATAACTTTATTTGAACATGTAATTAAACATATAAAATTTGGAAATATCAATTTGTAAATACAAAAGTTTATCTCCAAAATAGAATAATATTGTTTATTATTTAGTTTGATCATAAAGGAAATTAAATGCCATTACAAGTGTTTTCTTTCAAAACATTGTTTGGAATAGAAAATAGAGATGAATTGGGAAATACTGTATTAAATATAGCTGAACTTTGCGTTGTTCGAAAATCCAACTTTTATATAATTATTTTTGGTTAACTAGTGCAAATTATAAATTATATTATATTGCGTGAAACAGAAGCAAAAACAAGCAACTCGTTGGGTAAAATCTGCAGTTTCTGCACCAAATTAAAGAAGACCTGCAACATTGCCGCCTTTACATAAATACACTCTCTGTATACACATAGGCTCTATGTATATTTCTTTAAAATATTCTGCAAGTTGGTTAAATTTCATGGATCAACAATGTTGTTAACTTTCTAAAGTTTCAAAAAATAGTCAAACTTCGTTTGTCTACGATAATCAAACCGTTTCTTAAAAATGGGAGTAGACTATACAATAATATATACAACATTTCAGTATTATCGGGCTATAAAATGAGAACACTGAGAGGGATCTAGGGGTCTGAGCTTTTAAGCTCGCAAGCAACTTACTCACAAAACTTAGAAACATAGATTGTCACATTGATATTAACACTAGCTACGTCCATATCCGTGCAATACAAATCAATATTATATATATATATATTTAACGATTTAAAGAAAGAATATCATATACATATTTATATCTAAATATACAATTTTATTAACAAACTACATGTTATATAACTCATCATATTATAAAAATTAGTAAAACTTATCAGCCATTTGTGTCGACCTACCTTTGACCTTAATTAAGGATAAGTATCCTAAGGCCACTGTAAAATTTCGCATTACTATTTCATCTAAACAATAACGCAGACATTTCATAGGATTACGAATACATTAAATTAAATATTCTATTTTCTAATTATAATCACATTAGATTTTATATTATTTAAGCGTAAAATAAAATTATGATTTTACCTTGTGAGAGCAAAATGTTAAAATATTGATAAATTATATATTTGAGTTGTAAACATGAAAAGAAGAAATTGATAGTTTCATCATGATTGTACTCCAACTATATGTGGATTACAATCCACATTCTTTAAACATTAGTATCATGTGTATTTGGTAAATGCCGTCGTAGTATCCAATGATTTCTTAGATGGACAATGAGTCTTTGAAATAATTTAGGTGTCTTAGAAACTTGCCTGCTCCTTACAAATTTGAACTTTGGACCATAGAGAATCTAAGATCAGTCCAGCTAGACTAAGTTTCATGTGAAAGTTATATTAATTCGGTGTTAACCATGTAACTAAACCTCACAAATTACATTATTTGTTTCTTAAATATTGATGGTGCAATTCTGCAAACTCTCTACAGGATGCAGAATATTGATTCGTCCATGGTAGTTTTTGGTAGGGTGAAAAGTTCTAGTGTATTTATATAGATATCTAATTTTAGATAGCTGTTGAAAAGCAAAAATAGATCTCTAATTCTAGATGCTAAGTCAATAAATTGTCAACTTTAATGTTTCGCATTATTTTTTTTGTCATCATGTCTTAATTTTGTTTCTCAATTACTGATATTTTTTTGTTTTGCCATACAAGTACAACTAATAATTTAGTGGATGGGAAAATATGGATACTTTACTTATATACGATTATGTATACTGAACCCAATTGGTTTATTATAAGATTAGTTTTTATTTTTATTAAGTAGAGCCCGGAAATCCTGGACGTCAATAGTCACATTATTTATTAATGCGAAAACGTAAAAAAAGTGAGATGCTACCGTTACCTAAAAAAAGTTAATGGTGTGATTTTACAGCAGCTGTTTAATCTTTTTTATTATTTTTTAAAGAAAAAGTCTAATGAAGAGAGAGGGAAAATAAAAAACAAGAGGGACTGTGCCATTGTGGTATATAAAAAGGAGAGGGGGTGAAGTTCGAAGCATCTTATAGTATTTAGCTTCATTCCTTCTTTTGCTCAGATCAAAGAAAGTCCCCTTCTTTCCAAAACACACACTCTCTCTCTCTCTCTCTTTCTTATCTCTCTCTTCTCATCTCTGCCATTTTCTGGGGGTTCTCTTCTTCCTCTTCTTCTTCTTCTTATGCTCTGTTTCTTTAAGTCAGAGAAAGACAGAGAGTACAATTTTTTTTTCTAAAGTGAAAAGAAGAACAAGTGAGAACTAAAGGACCAAATCAGTTTTGGTCTTTGTTTGTTTCTGATTCGTCCTCACCTTCTTCTTCTCTTCTCCTAAAAGAGAAAACGTAAGTCAGTCTCTTTCTCTCTCTCTCTCTCTGTTTTTTCACTAAAGCAGAGAAAAACGTGAAGAAAGAACAAATTTTTCATAAAGCTTCTACACTCTGCTTCACTGGGTTTCGTAACCGTCTCTTCCTCTATTTATCTCTGTTAATTTTGATTAATCTTCATCATCTCCGAGTCTGAGATCTCTCACTTCTCCTCCATCACCTCTCTCTCTGTCTCAGTGCTCTGTTTCACTTAGTTATAAGAAAATTTGAGTGACCAAAAACGGCATCGTATTTTTCTCAGATCTAAAGGCAAAAGATTATAAAAAAAATGTCGGCGGGAGTGAAGCAAGGAGAAGAGGCGATAGTGCCGAGCGGAAATGACCACGAAGGAGATCAGATCAACGGAAACCACACCGGAAAAATCGACGAACACGACGGCGCCGGAAGTTCTAAACTAAGCAATTTTCTCTGGCACGGTGGCTCCGTCTGGGACGCCTGGTTCAGCTGCGCATCTAACCAAGTAAAAATCAAATCTTCAAGATCCTTAATTTCAGAATTTCAAGAATAAGAGAAGCAAGAATAAAAAAAAAAACTAAATTTTTCGATCTGGGTTTTGTTGTGTGTTATCAGGTGGCGCAAGTGCTTTTGACGTTACCGTACTCGTTCAGTCAATTAGGGATGTTATCAGGAATAGTGCTTCAGATCTTCTATGGATTACTCGGAAGCTGGACTGCTTATCTCATCAGTGTTCTCTACGTCGAGTATCGAGCTCGTAAGGAGAAAGAAGGCAAAAGCTTCAAAAACCACGTTATTCAGGTAACACACAAAAATTAAACCTTTATAATCACTCCTTAATTTTGCTAATTCTTGATTAAATTTTTCGTGTCACAGTGGTTCGAAGTGCTCGATGGGTTACTTGGCCCATACTGGAAAGCAGCAGGACTCGCATTTAATTGCACTTTCCTATTGTTTGGATCTGTAATCCAACTCATTGCTTGTGCCAGGTCTCTATTAATCTCTCTTTTAATGATCTCTCTAATCTCTTCTTTTAATTATTGATGGTTGATTAAATAAGAAAACGATGATTGGTTGCAGTAACATTTATTACATAAACGATCACTTGGACAAGAGAACATGGACTTACATATTCGGCGCGTGTTGTGCAACCACCGTGTTTATACCGTCGTTTCATAATTACCGAATTTGGTCTTTCCTCGGCTTGGGTATGACCACTTACACCGCCTGGTACATGGCCATCGCCGCCATTATCCACGGCCAGGTATTAATCTTGTTATTATTTATTTAGATTTAGATTTTTCTTTTTCACACAAAGTATAAAATAATGAAGATGTGTACATTGTCGTTTTCATGTATTTATGCTTTGCAATGAGGTGACAGTATATGCCTTGATTAAAAAGAGAAAATATTCGTATTTCTCTTTAAGATTACCCAAATTAGTAGAACTAGACACTGTTTAATATTCTCTTAATCAAATCACTGTTTAAGATATCTTTTTTTTTGTTGTTAATTTTGAAATTATAGACGGAAGGTGTGAAACACTCAGGTCCGACAAAACTAGTGCTTTATTTTACCGGAGCTACCAATATCTTGTATACCTTTGGTGGTCACGCGGTTACTGTGTAAGTTTTTCTCTTATCTATCTGTATTTTTCATATCTTAATGATTATTTAATTTATCCAAATATTTGTTATATATAGAAATCAATAAATTCTGTCAGGCATGGTTAAATACTATTTAAGTTAAAGCTCAAATGGCAGAAAAGTATAAGATAAAATTGGTGTGATAAATATTAAATTCTGGGTGCTGTATCGTTTCTTCGCCGCTTCTATTGCAGCTTTTGCCGGCGAATAAGGTGTAACTATTATTACAGTCATGATGATTATCATTATTATATTTTTCTATTCCTTAAAATAGTAATAAAATGTTAAAAAATAAAACCTTTAACAAAATAAAACTAAACTAATAATAATTGTTCACATCCTTACACTATTGCCTCCCTAGCACACTACTACTAGTAACAGTATGCTTCTGTTAAATGACAAATACAACCCCCCTTATGCCTTTATGATCTTTGGTGAATCGAATCTTATACTTATCTGATAATTTAGAAGGACCCCATTATGGATATTTTTCGTTTGACAAAACCCCATTATGGATATTAACAGTAAGTTTTGTTTTAAAAAAAATGGCAGTGAGATAATGCATGCAATGTGGAAACCACAGAAGTTTAAGTACATTTACTTGATGGCTACGTTATACGTATTCACACTAACGATTCCGTCAGCTTCCGCCGTTTACTGGGCCTTCGGAGACGCACTTCTCGATCACTCCAACGCTTTCTCTCTCCTCCCCAAGAACGCGTGGCGTGACGCCGCCGTTATCCTCATGCTCATCCACCAGGTAATTAATACTAATGTAAACCTTTATATATGTTATAAACATTCGTTTTCTTTTTTCATTTGTGATCATAATTAAGTTAAATTGCAATGTGTTGGTGCAGTTTATAACGTTCGGATTCGCGTGTACACCGCTTTACTTTGTGTGGGAGAAAGTGATAGGGATGCATGACACGAAGAGCATTTGCTTAAGGGCTTTAGCTCGATTGCCTGTGGTTATACCGATTTGGTTCTTAGCTATTATTTTCCCGTTTTTCGGTCCCATCAATTCCGCCGTTGGTGCTCTTCTCGTTAGCTTCACCGTCTATATCATCCCTTCTCTCGCCCACATGCTCACTTACCGATCTGCCTCCGCTCGTCAGGTATATATATGCTCTTTTCACAAATCCCCTCTCCTTACTTAAGGGCAATTTGAGTTTATTAAATCATTAACAGTAGAATATTACAACATGCGTACGCAAACATAATCGTTGCTTAAGTTAACTATGTTTTAGATTTACAAATGTTACCAAATGATACTCCTAATGCGTGAGACTGAATTGTAAATTTTTTAGGAAAAAAAAATCAAATGAACGGTCGGTGGAAGAAATATAATACTAGCTAGTGTTTGATTCTGTAGTTGGGGTAGGGTTGTGAATAGATACTGAGATTGGAGGGTATAAATGTCTTTTGGGAAGATAGATGGGGTTCAGTGTTCCGTATCTTACGGAAGATAGGATCATCACCCACATTCCTCCTTACTGGCGTCCCCTCCAAATATTTATATATATATACTTTCAGATAGTAGAAGTTCAAACTCATAATTTTTATGGTTAGGTTAGAATTAGTAATTGACCAGGAATGATTTTTGTTTTTTCCTCTTTTCAAACTCGTGTATATTAAATTATTACCAGTTGAGAGAGAGAAAGAGAGAGAAAGAAAAAGGGATAATTTGGGAGGAAAATAAGGGAGAGAAATAGGTAAGAGTCATAATCAGAAATGAAAAGGAGCTGTACAATAGGGACTCTCTGCCTAACATTAATCTAAAGTGAGAGTCTTGAGTATGACAAATCACAATCATATCTCTCTCTCTATCTCACTCATGGGTCAACAAAGGTTTGGATTTTGTCCATTACTACACGACAATACCCACAAACACACTCTCTCTCTCTTCAATGGTTCTTGATTTTTATTTTGTTTTGGATTTTTTTTCTTCTTGTAGAATGCGGCAGAGAAGCCACCGTTCTTTATGCCGAGCTGGACGGCGATGTACGTGTTGAACGCTTTCGTGGTGATTTGGGTTCTAATAGTCGGATTTGGGTTTGGTGGATGGGCAAGTGTAACCAACTTTGTTCGTCAAGTCGACACTTTTGGTCTCTTTGCCAAGTGTTACCAATGTAAACCAGCGGTTCCAGCAGCCGCCGCGCATGCCCCGGTTTCCGGTTTACACCACCGTCTTTGAGAGACCTAGCCAGAGTCTAATGCTTTTGTGGAGGTTTTATTAAAAAATTATTTCTTTTGTGTTTTGTGTTCTGTGTTCGTATACGTGAGGGAGTAAAAAGTCACGAAATAGTGTACTTACACACCCCCTTTAAATGCGTGCTAAGCTCTTAATTTTTTTTCTCTTTGGGGTTTTGTATTTTTGTTTTCACTCCGTAGGTTGATAATATAGTCGGGTGTGATTTCTTAATTTGGTATTGTTAAAACAATAGGCTGAAAAAATGTATCGTCTTCTCTTCTTTTACTTGGCTTTAGTAACATATGTTACACTAAAAAACAGTCCGTATTATGCATTTTCTTGCTAACTAAATGCAAAAAAAAAAATTATCTAACAAAAAGAAATGCAAAAAAATGATTTCAACTCTAAATTGAATTAATTGATGGATTTGTTTAAAGAAAAAGAAGATGCCATTTAACATTTAATAGGTGAATTAAAATGGCATTTGGTTTTCTAAAAAGATTTAGTAAAAAAAAGGATAGTAAATTTGAAAGTTTTACTAAATGGGAAATATTGTTAAGAATTGGGAACATGGACAAGTTGGACCGAGGGAGCCGGTCATTCTCTAAATGGGGCACATGGGTGTGGGGAGGGAACGCACGTGGCTGCTTCGTCTGAGTCACGTGCCATTATTTACTTCTCACTCTTTCTCTGTGATCAGACACACTTGAAAGAATGGATCAGATGTCCGTTCTTGTCTCTCTTATTAAATATGGCATGTGTTCATAACATTACTCAATCGTTACCCTTATCATATGCTCTGCTTTCACATGTACTTTGGACAAAAATAACTATATATATGAATTATTAACTAATATTCTCGTTTGAATCCACTGACGATTCATGTACTTTCAATCTGACTTTTTTTTTTGTTTTTGTTTTTGTTTTAAAAAGGGTAAAAGAGCTTGGGGAAAATGTTTCTTCTAATAGCAAATAATCGGTTTTGAGAACAAAAAGATCTGAATGTAGTAGTAGCACGTAATAATAATGTGAATGTGAGTGATTTGCGTTTGCGATGTGGATCGGGACCCGCTACGAACGTTGGTTAGTGAGTGGGTTTAATAGTCATAACTATGTGGCGAGAGGTGAATCGTCTTTAATTTCTTCTGATTTTGGGCATGTGATTTTTGAGACAATTTGTTGTTTTTTTTTTCTCTCTTTTATAATGGAGAATTGGAGACTTTAACTAGTGGAAGATGCACTATTTGGATACATGAAATCTTGCTACCACGTACTATTTTCAAATATGGTATATGTTGACCATACATAGCTCTTAGTGATAGTTTGTGCAGGTGTTGTTGCTATGTTATTATCCAGTAAATATTCAAATGTGTGTAACGTATTTCTACAACACGATATGCAATATCTCATAACATTTCGCAAGAAGAATTATTCAATCATGGCATTCCATTATTCCATATCTTCTTTTTAAATATTTTTATATAAATTATGGTAAGTACAATTTATCATCAATAATTTCATAACATATATCTCATTCAAGTTATATAGTATATATATATATATATTTATATATATACAATCAAAAGAAGTTTCATTACTGTTTTATGTCCAAATATAATCATACTTCTATTATATAATAACTAATCATTTGACTACATAAGATTCGTTCCAAATGCACATGACATGTAATCTATAGCCAATGCCGACTCTTGGACCAAGCTGGGAAAGTCCATGCTTACGGAGTTCTATTTTTATAAAAGAAATTTGGCTTTCAGTGTATCTAAATGGTCAATTGACAAATTTAACGAGCTTCCTTTAGTGAAATTTTAAGTTCAAATTTTGAAAATGCTTTTTATTTTTAAAATGTGTAAAACGGTCCATTTTTTTCTTTAACTTGCGACAGTCTAAAACTCACGACCAACTTTTCAATATCATAATAGATTGTGTTAGTGTCATTGCCCTTGTCATCATCCAAATAAAATCCGCATATATTGCATGTTAATGGTAAAAAAACTTGTTCATTTACTAAAAATGATTTGGACATTAGTGTTTTCTTTCTTTCACATTGGACTCCCAAATGCGATCTAAGACCTTAACACCGGTCGAGAGAATACTTCATTCACATATGTATGTGACAAAAATTCTAGCAAGCCCTAATATCTTTAAACAAAAATAGACAACAATAGTCTTATTATGTTCAGTAACCGGAATACATAGAAACTAATACAACAATTCTTAAAATATTCCCATGGCCTTAGGATGAAGTATGAAAAAAGGAAGTGGCTGAGTCATCCAGTAAAAATCTCTTGCTTTTGCTGGGTCTGATCTTGAGGAGCTATTTGTGGTACACGAGGCTTAGGGAACAAGAGCTTCAGCCGAAAAGCATCCATCCCATTCAAGTAATAGTGGTGTAACCGTTTGGCTCTTATGAACCCGAGTCGCCCATATAGAGCCAACGCTCCTTTGTTACTCACTTCTGCCTCCAAGGTTACCTTCACAATCATACATGTTTTTCATTAGGAAAGTAGAATAAGAGTTGACTATGAGGAGCTTGCAGAGAAAATGCCACTCAAAAGGGTTGTTTTTGGAATGTAGACTTACTAAGGAGTCATAGACTAACATAACACTTACAACTTACTGAGTGAGAAACTAGAATTACTAAGTTATCAAATACGAGTTTTCACACGTAGTGATCTACACTTTTGTTTTTAAAGGTAAGCAACTGAATCTAATAGGTACAATTGCAACGATTAAATGCAGCTAACATCACCTTACACCTCTGAAATTCTATTCTAGTGTAGTGTGATAAAAAGGAATATCAAAGTTTGTGGACCTGCAATGGAGTTCTATACTCAGAGAAGATCTATCAACAACTCTACTACCGGGTAAGGATCTCAGTCTAGCGTCACCAGATATGCAAGTTCTAAAGAGAGGAACGAGAAATGCAAGAGCAGCATACCTCTTCACAGCCTGATTCCATCATCACTTTTATTGACCTTGTAACAAGTTCTGTGGCTGTAAAACCCAAAAAGAAAAGTTAGCTCAACAGTATCCATACTTAAGACTTAAGAGAGCAATGGCTTTGCATTGGATCAAAAACACAGAATAACAGGAAGTTCAATCATCACTACTCCTACAAACAATCAATCCGACTTCTTAAGAAGTTAGGGAGCACTAATACTAAATGTACCTATGCCTCGACCACGGTATGGTTTGATCACGACCAACATGGCGATGTACCCTCTGTAAGTTTGTCGATGCTCCCCCATCTTACAGACTACGGTTCCTACGCATCTACCTTTGTGAAAGGCCTTTTTTTTTTGAGAAAAAGAGGAAACGAACGCTACTCATCAATCCATCCAAAACATAGAAACTATGAGAGGGAAACATCTAACCAAAAACGGAGTATCAAAATACCAGGAAGCAGAGCTGTGGCCAGAGGTAGACGAAGTACCGGTAAGTGAAGATGGAGTAAGGTTCGCTGAGTTCTTGATCCACCAGAGACATAATCAATGGCAGGTGATGCTCGCCGGCATAGCTTGTGTACTCAATCTCAGCCTCATCGATTTTCTCTTTATCTTCCATCCTTTTTTCAAAGATGCTGAAATGTTAAACTTACAAAGAGAAAGGTACGATTTTGAAAAATACGTTTTATATCTTGATGATTTTATTCTACTCAGGAAGTGACAAACACTTAATGCAAATGCATGAAAATGAACGTAAAGCGAAATTACGAGACGAGTGATCTTGGGAAACTAAAAATCAATTTCTGGGATTCAGATTGAGTTGATTGTTTCAAGATTGAAAGTTTGGTGTTTTCATGGCAAAGCTCAAAAGCAAGCAGCCGTTGCTCAATCAACAGCTGAAGCAGAATCAATTGCACACTGTGCCCCAAAAAAATCAAACGATAATGGCTAAATCGAGTTCTACTATTGCAATTAGGAAGAACACTGTGCAGCATAAAAGAGAACGGAACACATACAGATCAAATACTAAGTGCTGAGAAAAAGAAAGAGATGCGATTATGAAAATCAAAATTTTCCGGATCCAAGATCAAGGAGGGTGATAATTACTTACCAAGAGTCTGAGCTCTGTGAAAAATTCGAAGATCAAAAGGTTGCGATTGGGTGATGTCTGAAGAAGCTACACTGGGAAGAAGAAGAAGAAGAAAGAGGAGGTCGATTACACGTGCGAAGAAGGGTTTAGAATGGATTTGGGTTAAAAAAAAGCCCAATTAAAAATATATTAAAATGCCCAGATAGGCCCAACAAACTCTCCAATAACATTTTTAGATAACCAAAAAAAAGTCTATCCTAAAAGCATTTTCAACTTTGGAGAGACCTTATCTTCCTCAAAACACACTCAAAAACAGACGAATAAGCGCAAACACGGCGATGGCGTCGCTTCTACTCGGAGCTCCTCCGCGAGTCACCGTCGCATTATCTCTATCAACATCGTCTTCGCGGTTATCATCATCCCACTCGAAAATTTCCGGTGTTTCCCTATCTTGCTTCACTCACCAATTGTCTCTTTCCGATTCGTCTTCCAGCTCAATTCCACTCGGTAATCATCTCTCTTTCACTCCCAAACTCTGCTTATCTCTCTCTCAATTCGTTAATGGCGTGAATTTTCCGGTGACAGTGTACTGTGGCCGAGGTGACCGCAAAACAGCGAAAGGAAAGCGATTCAATCACTCTTTCGGGAATGTAAGTATCAAATTTTCCGATTTTTCTTTCGATTCAGAAATTATACATTGCAATTCGAATTTCGGTTTGAATTTGGGTTATGTGAGCAGGCGAGGCCACGAAACAAGAATAAGGGAAGAGGGCCACAGAGAGTACCGGTCCCTCCTGCACCTCCGAGGAAGGATAAGTTTGAGAACGACGACAAGATCAAAATCGACATCGACGAGTCTCTCTTCTCTAATTAGATAAAAAAGACTTAGTCACTGTAATTTCTATTTGATTAGAAGCTTTTGATGCTGCGACTCTGTTGTTGTTGTTAAACATCTCCAGTTTCTCTTCTTTCTATGAAAAATCTGCTTTCTTTCTCCTTTTAAATTCTATGTTTTTTTTTGCTTGCTCTTTTAAATGCCTCACATTGATAATGTTTCAATACATGATCTGATGAATCAACTGTTGCGTGATTGAGTCTAGACTCGAGTTGTTTTAGGAGAAACTAATTGAGTTTTATGAAGAAAATCTAAAGCAAGTGGCCAAAGTGTAAACAATGAATGGAAACAAAGAGAAAAAAGCACACAGGAGAATCTACTTATAACACATGAATGAATATTTTCCTCTGATTGGGTCTTTTAAGTGTGAGAATTTGTGATGTTTCCGCAGACTGTGCAGTGAGTGGAGATGAGTTTGTGCATGACGCTTCCTTCTTCAATCTTAATCTTCCTTGTGACTTTATTCCACAGATGTATCATGTAACTCCCTTGGCTCAAGTCGTCTACTGTCCTCTCTACCCATTCTGCTTCTCTTGTGGTTGCAGGTTTCTTGAAAAGCCTTGGGATCTGAAGCCAATTCACTGGATAAAAAGCATCAGGCGGGAAGATTGTGAGGTTGTACTCAGGTTTGCATCCTAATCTCTCGATAACTCTAGAGACTAGGTAAGGACTGTTGTGTCCCCATCTGTTTCCATCGAAAGTAGTGGCATACTCGTGCAAGAACTCTCGCATAAGCGGATGGTAGAGGTCAAAGACCATCACTGCGTTGTTTAGTCTTGTCCATCTTTTGGTTTCTGGATCCAAGCTCTGTGCCCCAATTGCGTTTCTCAGTCCCTTCATATCTTTAAGGAAGATGATGTCTGTGTCTAGGTAGACTCCTCCGTACTTGTAGAGCACGGCGAGTCTTGTTAGATCAGAGAGATTCATGAACAGAGGGATAGAACCAGGATCCATGTTGCCACTTTTTAGCTTTTTCAGCCAAGCTTCTGCAGGAGTGTTCTTGACGAGGAATGGGATATCGAGAGTTACAGCAACGAGGTTGTAACCACGATCAAGGAATGGCTTGAGGATGGTGTTTCCTTTGGGTGAGTCTAAGGAGTTGGACAAAATCACCAAGCAAGCTCCGGGATTGGTGGTGAAGAGTGTATCAACAGCTAACATCTCTCTTGGTCCAAAGGATTTTGCCGGAGAAAGCCAAATCATAAAGAACTGAGCTGAGCAATTGCTTTTGTACAACTCCAAAACTCTTTCATGGAACCTAGTGCTCTTGCTCGTCGACTTTAGTATATCCAGCTCAGGTAGCTTTCTTCTGAACCACTCAATTCTCTGGCTCTTCCTAGCTTTTGGAGGAGGTACCAACGGATCTAACTCCTCCTTTTCTTTTTGATCTGAGGCCACAACCGAGACACTGCTACTACTACTACTACTACTACTCATGGGGACATTGGTTCTAGGAAGAGGTACGTTTGCTTTGAACGGTGGCTTATCTTCGGAGACAGTATATGTTGGAGATTCCATGTAGAGGAGATACAATAAAGCACAAACCGCGAAGATCGCGAATAATGGTAACTTCCTAGCTCGCATCTTTAATCTTTTGAAGAAAACTCTTGTTCGATGTGTACTTCTTAGCTTTACGTTTGACAGAACTAGAGTTTCTGCGTTGCAGCAGACAAGGGTGGTTTATATAGAAAGTCGTATGTTGATATTTTCCTAAATCAAGAGGGAGAATAATCTGTGATTTCCGTTTTGGTTTAGGACACCTAGAAACCGGAGGTCCTATTAGAAGTAGGAATTAGAGTTGCCTTAGGTTACAAGTAAGTTTATTGTTCGTAAGTAAGATCCTAACCAATCCCTGGATGCCGCGTGTAAACAATGGTTTGGGATTTTAGGAAACTTTCCTTATTAGTGATTTTCAGTTTCTAAAATACGAAAAACCCTTAATCCAATTACCTGACAATTATCATCCGATATACCCAACTCGTGATTTAATTGGTTACGGAATCTAAGTGTATTGTAACAATAAATGGAGAAAGGAAACTACTGGATGGATGTTTCTTTTTTCTTCATATTTATTTCCTTTTAAAAAAGATTTTCTTTTTGGTAAAATTTATCTGTTTTCTAAACATATAAACGTAGTAGGAATTATCGTCTTCCGTATTTGACTTAGAAGTATACAAATTTAGGGTTTGGAGACAATCTTATCTTGCCTGCATTAGAAACAACAACAAATGACGAAAGAACGAACCCAAACCTAAAAAAATCAGAAACAGAGTTTAAAACTTCTAAAGACTTTTTTTTATTTCTTGTCATCTTTGAATTCCTCTGCAAACAACACAGTGGTCCGAAATTATGATGTCTATGGCACTGCCCTTTCCGATCTTAAGTTTTTTGGTGATCTTGTTCCACAGATGCAGCCCGTAGCTTCCTTTGTTGAGCTTGACCAGATCGGCTTTGAGTAATGTCGAGTCATTGCTACTCCTTGGCGTCCGAAACAGTATTTGAATGTCTAACCAATTAAATGGATAGAATGCTACTGGTGGCAAAACTGTGAAATTGTTCCCAAGTGTTTCTTGTGCTCTCTGCACTACTCTGGTTACCAAGTAGGGGCCATTGTGTCCCCATTTGTTCCCATCAAAAGTCGAAGCAAACTCCTCAATGAAATGGTAAAGAAGCGGGTGTTCTTTCTCGAAGATAAGAACCGCATTGTTCAACCTTGTCCAGTTCTTTGAGTCTCCTTCCACCACTGTTTGCGCTCCTATCGAATTTCTCAGCCCTTTAAAGCTTCTAGTGACGATGAAGTCGGTATCCAAGTAAACACCTCCGTACTTGTATAGAATCGCTAGTCTTGCTAGGTTTGAAAGATTCTGAGATAAAGGTATCCTTCCTGGATCTCTTCTGCAGCTTTTCATTTCTTGAAACCAAGCTTTGGCTGGTGTGTCCTCAAGCAGCAACGAAATGTCTGGTGTTGCTGTATAAACCTTGTAACCGAGATCAAGTAGCGGCTTTAGGATGCTATCTCCTTTTAAAGAATCCATGGATCCTGATACAATCATCAAGCATCCTTGAGGATGAGATTTGAAGACACTTTCTACGGCTAGAAGCTCTCTCTTCCCGAAAAACTCTGCTGGTGAAAACCATGTCATGAAGAATCTGACCTCACATTTGTCGTCGAGAGACCTAAGAACCCTGTGATGAAACTGCTCTGACAAGTTGGTTGACTTGAAAACCTCGAATTCTGGGAGATGTGATCGAAGCCAAGCGATCCGGTATCTGCTTGTACTGTTCTTTGGAGGAGCCAATGACTTTCTTTCCATTCTGTTCATTTGTATTACCTCAGAGGTCGGTGAAGCCCAGAAGAAAGTGGATTCTAAAGACATGTTTGAGAGAATTGTTCCCGCGACAATGAGCAGCATTATGACCGCGAAAATGGTTGTAGAGAATACCGGCGAATTCGTGTGCTTGTAGAGAATACCAGCATTATTACCTTTCTCCATTGTTTCAGAATGTTATGAACAGAGAGAGAAAGTAAAGAAACTCACAAAGATGAGACGATTAAGAGGTATATTAAAATGTGTTTAAAAGGTTTTTTGGTGAGAGTATGTTTTCTAACAAAGTAGAAATGTTGAGTTAGAAATTTAAAATATGATGAATGTTCTTTTCTCCATTTTCTAGGTATAGTTTTGGGATTAGAGTATGTTAAGGTTCTACATGATTTGTTGGGTTTTTAACAAAACTGTTAAACTAAAGATAAATGTACATATTCTAAATATTGTTAGGTCAATCTTACGTTGGAGTTTGGTTGTCATACAGATAGCTTATGATTAGACTTGTGGAATATGCAGAAGATGTGCGTACCACTAACTTGTAGGATTACTTATATTTTTTGTTCCCATGGAAGAGTTTCATAAAAATGAAAAAATGAAAGTATCTTAAAATATTATATTTTTGAATCATGTTAAAGTGATTCAACATCTATAAAAAAATTTCATCAACACTAACACATGTTTCATTTTCATATATAGATACACCAATTCACATAACCCTTCAGATGTTTTATTAGTGTCATAATTCTAACTGCAATTTTTTTTTCACAAATGCTATATATAATTTATTTATCAAAATTAATTGTTTGAAAGTAAGACATTTGAACTTATAAAACAGGAAATTAATGATTCTAATTAAATTATGTTTGCAAACTCTTAAATGATTCTAATTGATTATTTCTTTTTGCCAAACTCTTTAACGATATAGTTGATTTTTTTTGTTGCCAACTCTTTAATCATTCTGACTAGTTTGATCTTTATGCATGATACGTGCTAATTTTCTTATGAAAATACAGATTACAGTGACGAGTTACGAATGACGTATATATTTCTTCTGTTTGAACTCAAACACAATCTCCATCAACATACATCTTAGAAACTTTTCACTTTTTTCAGGTTTGATCGTCACAGCTAAAGTCAATTTACAATTTTTTTTTATAATAAAAAACAATTTTATGTTGTATGGACAACACACGCTCTTATATCACATTTATCTCTTTTCCGCCATAGTTTCCCCGATTGCACCAATACAAGGTTCTAACTTTCTATGAAACAATTTCTTTATAAAATAAGTTGAAAATATGATGTAGCATCTATATTTTAGGCAAATAATAGTAGTTTCCATAAGAGTGTGACAGCAAAGTTACCCTAGGATTTCATTAACTGGAATGCTGAGTATAATGGCGGACTTAATAACTATTTTACGAGAATTAATATATTATTGTAAATTGTTTATCTTTTGAATATTATATTAAATATATATATATATATTAAAGTTTTATATTATCAATATCATACATATTAAAATTGTATTATCAATATCATACATCTTAATATTATATTAAATATATATATATATATTAAAGTTTTATATTATCAATATCATACATCTTAAAATTCAATGTACGGGTTAGATTCAGCAATTCATATACTGTATGATCTTTACTGAATCTCTACTTTCAGTGAATGATCATTGTCACTTGTAATGTATAAACTTAGATGTCAATTTTGTGGGTCTATAAAGAACATAGACAATTGAATCAATCCAAGTCATATTTCAATTGTCGAATGGAGAAAATTTTAAATAATATTTTCTGCTTAATATATTTTTCATACATAGCCCGAATCTCTTGATATTATGACCGGGCTGCCGAAGTTGGTTTGCTTTTTCTCTGGATACCTGTGCGGACTACATTTTTTTATATTCTGATCCTTTTAGATCACTGAGTTTAGATTTTGGATATAGAGAAAGTAGTATTTTTTCTTCCTGATCATTCAATTCTTGATTTCCTTATCTTTGATAGCATGGTTTATATTGTCAGATACGAAGAACTTGGGAACAAGTGGATTTTCGTGTTGGATCTCTTGAATTTGAAAAATTTGAGGTCTGATACTATATCCTTAGATCGTATTAAACCGTAAGCTCAATACAAAACTTAATTTATTCCAAAGAAATAATGTATAAAAAAAAATTATAGGCGTCACGTGCAACCATGCAATTTGTTTATGTAAGAAGAATCAAATTTATTATTAACAAATATTATTCATTTTCTATTTTAAAAGTGAAAGTGAAGTACTGTTGAAATCTTTTTTTTCTTCAAAATAAAAGAAAGAAAGAATAAAAATCGTAATGCAAAAGTTAAACTTGTGTAAGAACTTTATTTCACAAGTTTCATTGGACCTGCTTTAGGAACCGTGGGATGGGAAATGTTATCAGGTTATATTTTGGTTTATTTCAATAATCTGTGTGATGAGAAATGTTATCCGGTTTATCTTTTGGTTTATTTCAATAATCTATTTACTGATTTTAGGTGGTTTGTCCCACCATTTCGGTTTGTCCTTAATTTTCCTCGAACAAAGATTTAATCAATAGTCTAATTATTATGTTCAGTATCCGGAATACGTAGAAGCAAAAACAACATTCTATTTAATATCCCATTGCCTTAGGATTCAGTATGAAAAAGGAATTGGCCGGGCCATCCAGTAAAAATCTGCTGGGTTTGCTCTTGAGAGGCTATGTGAGGAACACGAGGCTTAGGGAACAAAGAGCTTAAGCCGAAAAGTATCCATCTCATTCAAGTAATAGTGGTATAACCGTTTGGCTCTTATGAAACCGAGTCGCCCATAAAGAGCCAACGCTCCTTAATTATGGTATCAAGAGGATGGCAATGGCTCGTTCTTGTCCATAGCATTTGTTGGAGCACTTGTTGTTACCCGCAGATTCCTCGAAATGCGACGCCTTATGTTCTGCATAACAAACACATACATTTTTTCTTGAAAAGGTAAGAAGAAAACTGAGAAAAGGTTGCAAGTTACAACTAAAGAAACTAGATTTTAATCTGTACCATGTGTCTCAAAGCCATGTCGAGAGACGACCTAGAGAGATTTCTCCCGAAGCCTCCTGAGCTCATGTTACCGTCATGTTTTGGAGGTGGCAGTTTCCTCATGTTCACAACTCTTTCCACCATTTGAGTCCCCAGCAAAACAGGATTCACATCATTGCTAATCTTGGACCGTCCCATTGATCTGTCACCAGAACTGTAGGCTCTGGCTCTTGAGGTTGAGACAGGTCTAGCCGGTATTTCACGGATTGTTAACGATGTAGGCTTAGCACTAGGAACTGACTTTCCCACCGAGGAAGAACGGGTAGAGGCAGGTGCTCGTGGATTGGATTTGATTGAAGAGGTTCTACTATCTAGATTTGAATTCCGAGCAGAGTTGGTTTGTTTTGTGGAAGACAATGTGGTTCGTGAAGTTGGTGTGGCTTGTCTTGACGGCTTACTGTTTGGTTTTGGTTCTGCAATGGTTTTGGCTATTTTGCTAATAGCACTTGAAGAATTTCGTCTTGGGAATTGCTTGGAAGCCTTGACGCTCCATGTCACAGGTTCTTGTGGGATGTTTTCGACCTTCAAAACAAAAGCTTAACATGAATCACCACGAGCATCATATATATCAAAACATGGGGAATGAAGTGAACATGGACCACTATTCCACTATGAAGTGGACATACTAATTAGAACTAAGTGATGTTGCATAGACTGGCAAAAGCCCTGAAGAACAGGACAGTTATGGATCTTATTTCAAGACAAACCAAAATCTAGGAATGGGGTTCCAGGAAAGTATCATTGGAAGTTTTTATAACCGGTTCTCACCCGTGGTTTTAGAGCAGTGGACCTAGCTTTAGGCTGCTTGAGTTTAACCATGGAGTTCTCCTGCGCTTCTTTCTCAACTAGTGTATCTGGAGCCGCAAGCAACCTGAGGAAAGATAATCTCTAGATTGGAAGTTCAACGACAAAACGAAGTACTCTAATCGATTGAGGCATCTACATTCTATCTAACAGCAACAAATAGAACAAGATGAGACCTGGAAACTCAGAGTTATGTCATGCAGACATGAATTCTTAGAAGCAAGGCAATATTTCAGAATCTCACTAACAGTTTTCCTTCTACGAATCCGGAGAACCACGTTCGAACACTAAAGCGACAGATAACACACAAACATCTCAAAATCTACAGGAAATAGCAGTGAAAGAAATACCACTCATAATCTGATTTGTTGTTCTCGGAGTCCAAGAACTTCTCAACCGCGCTCCTACGCAGCTGAACACATCTCGTTGTTGTTGACACTAAACTCTTTGTGGTACTCTTGTCAATACTGTTTGGTCCTGTCAAAAATTAAGCAACATGATACATCATTTGCTAAATTGATAACGAAACTGGCTAAACGATCTATACTAGAAATCTATCAGACTTAGCTCCGACTACCATGAAAAGATAACTTAGTAAGGATACAGAATCAGCTACAAGAGCTGAGAAAACAACTCTATAGCACTCAAAAACTGAATCCAAAAGCACGAAGATATTAGATATGGAAACGCGAACTAGTTCGAATGTATAATCGTATCAAACAAGCAGAGCTTCAGCATAATTTCGTAGCTAGCTTCTTAGATTTAGGTTCCGGGAGCTCCGATTCGGAGAAATCGAAGTGAAAATTTGGAGAAAGAGAGATCAATCAGGTAACTCACCAGGTTCTGGAAGAGAAGAAACGCCTTGAACCTTCTCGCGCCTTCGCAACTCCAGGAATAGAGAGAGTTCTTCATCTCCATCTCGAGCCACAACATTCTCCATTCTCGAAACCTCTTCCTTAAACTGGGTACGAATCACTTTTAGCTGATCATTGTTGACGATCGTAGCACCAAAAACAAAAACAACGAAACATAAGGTTATCAATGGAAGCCAAAAAAATGCATAGGAAGAAGAAGAAGAAGTAAGATAAAGGCGAAATCAGTGTTGGAGAAGAAGAACGAAGAGATTTACACAGATTGATTTCGTTGTATATTCACGAAACTGCCACTGTTCTGTTTGTCAGGTACTCTCACTCTCCTTTTTTTTCCAGGAGCTGGAGCGTAGGAGGTGGGGGTATAGATGTAATTGACGTAGGCCCCATTTGACTGAAGGTATGATCTCAACCGTTGGATTCGTAACGGCGATGACTGATCGGACGATTGATATTTGAATGGACAGACCAATGAGGCAGCCTCGTATATCGTGTGATTCAAACTCCTCAGCACTCGGGGGTCTTTTTTTTATTTGCAGATATACATCAAAAGCGGCCCAATAGCTACTTAATTTGGGCTTTTAACCCATAAAAGGCCACGAAGGTCTGATTTTGACCGGTTAAGAGTGATCTTATTCCTTCTGTTGTCAATTTTGGACATATCAAATCAAGCTCAAATCAACAAATTCTCAGTGAATACTTTGGCATGTCTAAACTTTGACCATAAGAAATAAAAAAATTTATGAGTTATAATCCATTTTACTTATAATTTCATATTAACTTCTCAGAGAAATGATTAAATCATAGAAAAGAAAAAACTGAAAATGAAAAATGAGATAGAACATGGGAGATAAAGCATTCATAGATAGTCCATCGAAAACCCACACATGGGCATTAAAAAACTTCTCAAAACTTATCTTCATCAAGACCCCCAATACTCATTGAATCTCAGAAATCTCTCTGACAAGTTTTCTTGTTTTAATATTTGAAAAATGAATCAAGAAATTGAGCATTTTTTTTTCCCTTGTCCCTTGTGTCGGTTTGGAAATTTTGCTTCAACATATTGGTACTTGTCCAAATTTAAGATGAGAAAACTCCTTGGCCGATTGCATTGACTGCATTGTTCATCAGTTGATGTCCCAAGTGAATAGCATTTGGTTGTTCTGAAATACACATAATATCATAATTTTGTGTTATGTAATTATTATTGTCAATCTAATTGCTAACGTGTTTTATGATATAGAATAATGGATTTTAACTCACTCTGAGGAAGTTTGTCGACGAAGAAACAAATGGCAATGATGATATAGCAAAGCAAGAGAACCAGTCCTTTCATGTAGTGAGAAGTCCCATCCTAAAGAACCACAAAAACACAACACAATATTTAATCATTGAAACTTGAATTTTTTTTCAATCATCCATTGATTTTTATAATGTATTGATCATGATTATTTGTAAAGGTGTTGAAAAATGTTTTAACCTGTAACGTGAAGGCTGTGATGATAATGGAAAGGGCAAGAGAACCGGTTTCAAGGACATTGAAATTGAGATCCATCTTAATTCCTAGAATCCACGCCACAATAATGGTCAAGGGGACGACGAATAAGCCAATCTGTGTTGCAGAGCCTAATGCAACTCCCAGAGATATGTCCTACAAAAGTTATTTGCAGTTTGACATGAGTCCATGCATTGTGTCATTATCCACGAGTTTTTCCTTCTTTTTATTTTTTGGTAAAGAAATATAGGATGCTATGAAATGAAAACTCACGAGCTTGTTCTTAAAAGCGAAAATGATGGCTCCAGCGTGTTCAGCCGCATTTCCAACAATGGGAAGCAATATGATACTTATAAAACTCACTGATAGTCCCCATGATTCCGATGCTTCCTAAGAAAAATATCGCCAAAATTAAGGTTATTCGTGTATACATACATATGATCATTAAGAATTAAAATAAAAAAAAGTAACTCTTAAGGATATATTTTAGGAATTTTCATATTTTCAAAAGTAATATAAAGAATAAAAGTTGGATACCAATAAAAAACTTAATAATCGATCATAACAAAAGTTACCTCAATAGTGGCCACAACATACTCTGATAGCAATGCAATGACGAGTGTCATACCAACCAACCACGCAAATCCGCTCCAAAATCCAATCACAGCGGTTTCTTCCTCAGCAACATCGTCATCATACTCGTCTTCCTGTACCACATTTCGTATTAAACATCGTTAGATATATCACACAAAATAAAATAAAAAAGTGACTTCTTCTCTGATCTTGTACGTATATGCTTTATTACCTGATCTTGTGCGTCGAACAATTGGCGGTGAGTCCAGAGTTGGAAAACAAGATATGCGATGTAACCTATCAACATAACAATACTGCTGGCTCGTGACAGATTAAGTGTCATGTCGGCAATTAGATCAGCCGAAGTCTCTCCGTTGGCCACGTATCCAAACAACAGTGGCAGCAAGTGACACAACAAACCCATTAAGAGTAAGAAGAAGTTCACATCGGCTTGTTTCTGCAACAATGACCAAAATTAATTATTTTGGTTCATAAATACCTAAAAGATTTACCAATTAATTAACCTGACTACGTGCGCTTGATTGCTAAGCAAGCTACAACTTAAATACTAATCCCGGTTAAGACTAACCGTACCAAACTTATCCCATTCTTGGTTCAGTTATATTAAATTCAAACGAAATATTGTTGTACAAAGGGAGGGAGGCTATACCCGGTCGAACCGCTGCTCTCGTCGGAGATTAGCGATTCCGCCGCAAAAGAGTGAAGTCCCGAGAACCAATAGAAGGTTCGATAGAATGGAACCTAGCAACGAGTATTTCACCACTGCGACTTTGTTATTGGTCAATGCCAGAATCGCGATTATCAATTCAGTAGCGTTTCCACACGTTGCGTTCAATAGACCACCCACTGCATGCGTTTCAAAACAAACATAAAATGAATGAGTTTCTACTGACAAAAAAACAAAGTAAGCTGGAGATAAATAATTAAAAACAAGAAAGAATAGTTGGTAAAGAAGTAGCTACTTACATGTAGGACCGGTGTAAAACGCTAGTTGCCTGCACGGGATGCACGATCATGTAAATATAACCACAAAAGAAAAATGATAAACGACTAAGAAACATTATCAAATTATCATATGATTCTAGATCATCCTAATGTAGTTGAATATTATTATAAAGAAGATAAAGGTTTGTACTATGCTTTCACGTTGACATATGAGTGGGAAATAATTGCGTGTGGTTCGCTGATAGCCTGATACCCAATCATGCAATGACTAATCCCAAAAGAACTTTGGTCCATTTATTTCAAAAAGCAAAGTAGTTAACGAAAGAACATGGTGGATTCGGACCAAACTAATATGATATGTTCTGTAACCCTTTCAAAAAGCAAAATTGCAAACGTGACAAATTAAATTTATTGATTCAAATCATGGAGAAACGAGAAACTTCAGTGGGCCGAGTGGTTGGACGGATTTTTTGAAAGAGACAACAACTATTGATTTAACGTGACATTTTATCTACTGATGGGATAGATACGATTCATTCGTCGACAGTTGGCTAAATCTTGTCTTGATCGAAAATAAAAGGTCGTAACGGTAAAATATTCAAATCATATAATGTAAGTAGATAGAATAACATTTGGATGTGGATGAGGATAAGTAAGAATACACTTACTCTGTCAGAAAGCTGACTCGCTCAGCTAAAGGTGTGAGTCCTAGCAAGCTCAGTCCAAATATCCACGACTGTACCGAATAATTAATTTAAAAACCTTAATGATTGCATATCTAATCAATTAAATACCTATCCCTGATTTAGTGGTGAGTAATAATAATTTAATTAGATGCGCTAATAGTGCCAATATATCTTCACAATTAATAGTTTTTTCATAAGATAATAATCTAGTCCCGGTAAATCATGATTGCCCCATTAATTCCTTACATTCTTGAAATTGAGTTTTCTTGAAACAAAATTTGTTGATGAATGTTTTTGTCTGTTTAGCAATATTTTGAATGTTATAATTGAGGAGAAAAGCTCCAAGAAATCAAAAATACCTGACTGAAACCACAATAGGTTCCGATAATGGCGACAGGTATGGCGGGAAAAAGGATGGCAAGTTTGGTGCCGAGAATGACTTCTTGAAGGTTGGCAAGAAATTCTTTGAGACCTTTGTATGGAACCTTCTGGATCACTCGGAGGTCTGATTTCTTCCTCAAAGAAGAAGAAGACATGTTGTGAGCTGTTCTTCCATGTCTCAGCTCTCTGCTCGATCCTTTTGTGGTCATGCTTGCGTTTCCGTTCTCAGCCGCTGACCACTGTTCCGGAACTATCCCGGCCATTTCTTCACTTATGTTTTTTTTTTTGGGGTCTCTTCGATTTGAAGTTATAATATTTTGCTTTGTTGATTCCTCCTCTGTTGCGTTTGTATAGAGTGGCGTCACAGATGTTTAAATACTGATTATTTTTGTATTTTGGGTCCACACAAGGCAACTTCCACGAAATTTCCCTTGGTTTATTTATTTGTTTAATTCTTGGGATTTTATGCTTTTTTGTAATTTTGGCAACAAAATCAGAAATGGTAGATATAGATACGTGCCATTGAAAGTTGTAATAACACATGGCTATCAAATCTGGATTTTTTTTGGAAATTAGCACATTAGGACTTACAGCAATATGTCAAAAATCTAACTTTGGTAACAATAATATTTAACTTTAGTAGTAGAATATTAAGAGAAAAAAAAACGTGTTGGTCTTATATCTTTTATTTATTAGGTAAGCAATTAGTTCTAAATTAAAATTTCATTTTCACGTTGATTGGCGTTTTGAAAAGGAAGTATTCTAAAAACATATGATCAAATGACTAAGAAAATAATCATTACTACGATTCTCAAAACTAACATAAGCATTTTTGTCAACCTAATATAGTTTTTTAATGAGTGAAGATTACAAAAAAATCCCTTAAAATAAGAACACATAAATGAGACTATCTTTATGAATTCGTTCTTTTCATTAATAACACTAACAAATTTTAGTATATGTAATGAAACCGCGATTTTTTTCCTTAATTTCTTCTTAAAATCTTGTATTTTTTACATCCGCCCAAATCACATGTCCCATCATCTGTAGAATAATACGTATACTTTTGTTGTTTACGATACTTCTTAACTTCTGCACCAAAATGTGCCAAGAACAGTCTAGAGGAAGTAGTTGTGCCACCTCTGCATTTACTCGAGCATATGAGTTAGACTCCAAAGTTCCTATAGTCGGATAAATGGGCCGACGGCCCCACCAAAAAAAAAGTTATACATAAGTGAAAAATAATATAGCTTAAAATAGAAAGTCCTAAACGCATTGACAAATAATTTTTCAAATCACTCTTACTTTTAAAAGTTTCGTTCGAGTTTATGTTTTACTAGTTACTACCATGTTTTTTTTTAAAGGTACTGTTCGAAATGAAATTCGCATAAGAATGGAATAAAGATAAGCATCGGTGTGACACGTGCTTTGAGAGTGTTCTTTACAGAAATCCTAAGGGCCTAAATTGTGTCGTGTAGTACGAAAACGAGGCTGCTGATTTTGCCTGTGCCTTTTTTGCATCACGAGGAGGTACGTAGCTTTGATAAAAGGTGGGAAGTGGCTCTTGCCTTTTGTCTTCTATTTATTAAGGGTTAACTTTTAGCTGAAGTTATCTCTCATATTCATTTTTAAAAACTCTTATTAAAATCAGACCTCAGAACTAGAGGTGGACAAATCAATTGAAAACCTCAGTCTAAGAGGAAATAGGATTCTGTATAATCCAATAATCCATGAAATCTAACACACGTTGATGACTTTACTACCACACCAACCATCCAACCCATAGCCCTATAAGAAGGGAAATTGAAGAGAATCAGAAGATTTTGGAAAGATCTTATCAAGAAAACGAGGGGTGATGAAGTTAAACTAGTAGAAGCGTAGATACTCTTGAATAAATTATTCTAAAATGATTTCATATCCATATATATCCCTACGAATTGTACATTTTCCTACAACATTTCTTTTTTTTTCCGAATTCAATGGCCTATAGAATCTAAAATTAAAGTGCCACTAGTCTCAGAGAACCGTTATAAAACTAATTTCATAAGTACTGCATGTACCTATGTAGTCCACGTCCATGACAGCGATTGAGTCTGACAATCTAAAGCGGTCAGAATATCATTATTTAATTTATTGAAAGTAATGATCCCTAAACACATACTTAAGCACCCCAAGCGTATACTGCCGAAGAGTAGAGAATGCTATGAACCCAAGTGGGTATATAAAGACACAAACACAGCTGAAAGACGCATTTGTCTTGTTCGAACGCACCACAACATATTTATTTCAGGAAATGCCCCACAAATCTTTGTTGATTTCGGAAGTTACACCGATTTATTGTTTGAGTTCATCGACATATACGTATGGGCAAACAATGGACGAAAGGCGTTGGGGTCACAATGATGAAACAGGCCAAAACAAAACAAATGAATTGACGTTATAGGAAACTACCCGGAAGCTGCCTTCGTGAGGATACGTCTATGCACTTCTCACATGCATGTGGAAGATGTTGTTATCGATCCTTTCTTGTAGTATAACAAAATTATGAGGTTTCTTTGTCTGTATTGTAAGTTTTTTAAATGAAACGGAATCAAAGCGCCTCCTACATTTGTTTTGTTCTTTCAATTACAATGTTAGGGCATCTATAGAGTAATGGACTATTTGACGAGTGGGTCCCTTAATGTGTACGGAACAGGAGACTTCAATTATTACTTAACATCATGACCCTATCTTCTTAGAAGGAATAGTAGTATAAATATTGGCAAAAAGAATTCTAATCATAAATGACAATTAAATTGCGGCTTAACAATCAAATACGACCATTGCTGACTTTACACGGTGATATTGCAAAATGCAAACTAGTACTACATCATTCTACATGGTCTTAAGTCTTAACAATCTTATTACCATGAAAATATTATTATTCTCGGATGTTATAAAAATTAAGGGAGAAAAGAATATAGTATTTGAGTTGTGGCTGAGAAACTTCTATATTTATAGTAGAGTAGCTGAAACAGGCCAAATATTACTCTTAAGTTTTGTAGTTAGTTTGTTTTTATACTTTTTTTTCTTGTTAAATGGTTTAGTTTTTATACTTTTTCTGGTCAAATGGAAAATAATAAGGGTCTTTTTTCGTAAGTAGTAACATAAAATCCATTTGCGTTTTCAAATTCAACCTTTTGGAATTGCGTTTTTAGTGTGTTTGTTTTTCATGCGTTTCAAAACTATTTCAAAACGGGAGTGTAAGTTTTCAAAACAAAAACATTTTGAAGGGAGTTTAAAAAAAAACTTTATGAAAACGAGCTTCCAATTTCTCAAAGCTTCTGGTTCTGATTATAATTCACGGACCTCGCCAAAGCTTCTGTGTTACCTAGCTTAAGACCAGATAAAATTTTACTCTTTTTTTCGGTTCTTTATTTTTCATTTTTTAATACTTCGTACAAAAACATTTATTTTTAGCGACAAAAAACAAACCTAGTATTTTTTTAATTCAAATGTAACAAGCCGACGATTGCGGCTAAACCAATCAATGCCAGACTCACAATAAAACCTGGTAAGACCTGAAAACCGGCGTGATTCCAATTTTTTTTTAATATTTATATATGTTTCTACTTTCTACAATAAAAAAATCAGTTGACTAGGATTAGACCAGACCAGTTTGAGACCACAAAGGAATTGATTCTTTGTTTTTTAGGGAATATTAAGGAATTTTGGTTCAGTAGTGGGGATCTAAAACTATGACAGAAGCATAAACCCCTTTTTGCATGCGCTGATTAATTAATCAATCGCCTTCTTTTATTCTTTAATTCAATCTGTGCATCGAAGTGAGACGAAGCAAAAGTACTCTCCCGGCGAGAGAAGATACATCGGAAGAAAGTCATGGTTGGACCGGGAAGACCTCAAATCGTGCTTTTCGGTTCTTCAATTGTTCAATATAGCTTCGGCGAAGGTGGTTGGGGAGCCACACTCGCTGACATCTACTCTCGCACGGTTTGTGATTCCGATTTTTTCTCCATTTTCGTGAGATTTGCTCTGTAATCTGCCGCGAGGAATGCTGATCCGTTTCTCTGATCTTGACTGATTGTTAATGAATAATATACAGTAAAACCCACTAATCTGTATACTGTAATGCAATTGCCATTTCCTGCTTCGCAAAGTTTAGAACTTTCACTCATTTTCTACTGTCAGTGTCGTCAACGACCTCATCATTGAGGATAAAATTGGTGCCTTTTTATAACTGTAACACATAAATTCTTTTTCTTTTTGTGTGGTTTTGATTAATTGTTCACAGGCTGACATAATCCTTCGTGGATATGCTGGTTGGAATTCCAGATTTGCCTTGAAAGTTCTTGACCAAGTGTTCCCAAAGGTATACTCTGTTTTGAACACTATAGTGAAACTAGCACTCTTATCTATGATTCCTGAGTGTGAGATTTCCCACACTTTTGCAAAAGAAAGTACCTTTTCTTGACCTCTGTTTTTGCTTTTTTCTTGTTTTTATACCAGAATGCTATAATACAACCTTCTTTGGTGATAGTCTATTTCGGTGGGAACGATTCAATGGATCCTCATCCATCAGGCCACGGAGCTCATGTTCCTCTATCTGAATTCACCGATAACATGAGGAAAATTGGGGAGCATCTTATGGTAATGCCCTCCTTATGAAAGTTTGCGACTTTCTTCTTTTTCTTTCTTCAGTATTGCTAACCTCATAGCATCTTCTTAATTCCCACCTTCTTACCAGAGCCTTTCGAACAAGACCCGTGTCATTTTTCTCAGTCCGCCACCAATGAATGAGAGACAAATAGAAGTGTTTTTTGGGTACATTATCTAAGAGAACCGGTTCTATATGTTCCTCTTGGTTATCATTTATTAGAAGTTTGATCAATCTCACTATGTAACTGATCATGTCCTAGAGATGTAATGAGAGGCCGGAGCAACGAGCTGTCCCGTCCGTATGTAGAAGCGGTGTTAAATCTTTGCCATGAGATCGATGTGAAAGGTATTGATATTTGGACTGCATTACAGCAGCAAGATGATTGGTTAAACACCTGCTTCACGTGAGCTACTGAACTCATATGATACATTAAATTCCAAAATGATTCTCTATCAAACTAACTCCTAAATGGGTTGTTTTACTTCATAGAGATGGGATCCATTTCACAGCTAAGGCAAGTGAGATTGTCGTGAAGGAGATATTGAAGGTAGTGAGGGAAGCAGATTGGAAACCGAGTCTTCACTGGAAGTCATTGCCGATTGAGTTTCCATTTGATTATGGTATACCAAACTCCATGAGTCTTAGTGACGTAGAGTTAACCAGGAACAAGCAGTTGGAGCCACCACCTGGTACGGCTCGATTGTAAAACGACTGAGTATTTAGAGAACATTCTATTGCATTTGACATTCTTGATGGTGTACCAGTTCTACCCTTTGTTTTGCATCTGGATATTCTTATTGCTAATTTAAAGTTTTATGAGAAGCTCTTGTTTTGTATTCATTAGGCTCGTTTGGTCTTCGGATTATAACAATTTTATCATCACTAGTGTGCTTCGGATAGCATTCGAGTCTAGAAACTCTGTTTTAACGATGATGGTTGCCACTATTATGCAATAATTGCAAGTTCACAAATGTGCGTGTTATAGTACTTTATGTGTCGAATTTTACAAAGAGATCGATAACAAAAATAAAATACGAGAAAGCTTCTACATTAAGGCAATCGTTATTACGAAAACAAGTGAAGTCGTGGACTTTGGTATGAGAAGGAAGTTGTTTCAGAATTTTGAATAATTTTTCGTTACCTATTTGTTGTGATGATTGAATCATAATTAGACTAATATATTAATTATGTAGATTCTAGAAATAGGAAGAAAAAGATTAGCTGAAAAGGTTAAATACAGATCTAGATCTAAATGGCGAGCATGCAATAGATTCAATAAGTTACCTCTCACGCCTCCTCCCGACTAGATCCTATTACATTCACACTAACCTAGCGACTAGCGTTAGACCTTATTACTTAGCATTTTCGTTCTGCTTATCTTAACTTAGCATGTTCATAGTGAGAGCTAGTAGTATATAATCCTCGTTTAAGGGCTAGATTTAGGTTTTCTTTGAGTTAGATGGCTGGCTTTTTTTATGCGTCAGGATAGTATTCGGTTGATCATACAATTATAGTTTTCTTTAAATGGTGAGACTGAGACCCTACACCGAATTTTATTAAAAAAAATTGAGCAAGTGAGGATTGATCAATACTTCGATAGTTTTAGATCGCAAGCATGCAATAGAATTAAATATCACAAAATGTTATATATCCTCTTAGAACAATTCACAACTTATGGTTCCTCCCGACCTGTTTAGGATCTGAAGCTCGCGCGCATCATATTTCAGATAAACTAGCCCTCACGTTGAAATTTGTCTATTTGCATTTGGTAATACTAGTTTATCTAATATGTTTATCTCCATGACTTTTTTTTGCATGTGAAACAGTTTCGAAGCAAATTTTAACCGTTTTGAATCGAAACATGCAAAGAGGCAAGGACTAACGTGTATCAATACAACTTTCTTAAATAAAAATGCATGCAAATTAGTAAATTACATCTACTACTATTTCTATAAAATTTTGTTTGTACAAAGATTTAGGAAACTAATTGTAGTTATATGAATGATAATTCGCTGGTCAAACATATAATTTCTCTTTTTCTTTTGGCAACATATTTATTTAATAAACAATTGGTTTAATTGTAAATAAGTTAAACTTAAAAATCATCAAATTTAACCAAAGGATAATTTAGGTATTTTCGTGAAAAAAACTTTTAAAAATTTATTAAACGACATATTCTTGAAAAGAAAGAAGAAATAACATAACTAACAAATCACATAAAATCAAAATTATGTTAAGAAAATTATAGAAATACCCTCAAAGAAGTCAAACCTTATAATTTAGCCATTGACTACTGTCGTATCTACATTCTACCTTTCTACGACGGAGAGAAAAGACAGAGACTCGCCGGTAAACCACTTTTCAAAACAGTAACCGTCACATTAATTATCTTGCCCCTTTCTTCATGGGTTCACTTCCTAAGGTTCTTCTCGTTTTATATTTTTAGTGTTTTGTCAATTACATTGCCCCTCCTTGACTCGACTCATTTCGCTTCCATTTTGTTGCTTCTCTATCTATCTCTCTCTAGAATGGCCGATACGGATTCAGCTCCTCTTCTCTCTGCACCTGCGGTGGTCTCAACGAATTCTTCATCGTCTGATACAGAAGAAGATGTTAACCATGAATCTGATCGCTGGTTTAACCATCGGCATTCTGTGTATGTCAATCGGTACGGTTATCCAACGTACGTGAACCCTTCAACAGCTGATGTTGAAGCGAGCGTGTCCTGCTTCTTTCTGGCTATTATGCTCTGGAACTGTGGTTTGTTTCCGAGAACATTTTAACTTCAAAAATTAACGATTTTGATTTGGTCTGCTTTTGAAAGTCTTTTCCTTTTTGTTTTGTTTTTACGATATGATTCGTTCTTGACTAATTCTCGATGACTCAGTGTGGATGGTTATGACTGAGCGTGTTTACGGACCAGAGAATGTATGGATTGGACCAAATTCTTCCATTCTTATTGAACCAAACCCCATTTTTGTCCAAACCGTAAAGGTTGCTGACTGGTTCCTTTGCCTTTCTCTTCTTTTGTACATATTCCTTAATTATGTTCTTAATCAGAAACTGTGCTAATTTTTGAGAAATGGTTTATATATATATATATATATTATTTTTTTTGGTTAGGTGGAAGATTTAGGTGATTCAAAATCTGGACTTGAGTTATTTGGGTTTTATAGATCTCCTCCCCTTGATGTTGTGAATTGGTCAGAATCCCGCTTGGCATCTGTCCCACATAATTCTTTCAAGGTAGGTTTAAGATTCTCATCAGGACTGTTTTGTTTAAAATATAGTATATTGTGGCCTTTTGAAACCTTTATTGTGTTATCAGACAAATTTATTGAACTGATTCCCATTGAAAAAAAAAAAATCAGATTTTTCCTGTTTAATGTTAGACAATTTATTGAACTGATTTCACTTCTCTCAGGTATGGCCATTCTATCTGAACAAAGGAGCTTCGTTAAATATTTCATATAGTGTTAAACCGGAAGGCCGTTCAGTTCGGCTTGTGGTCAATGAAGGTTAGTTATATTCTTTTGTGATGTCTTTCTATGCCGGGTTTGATATTGTGTTTGTAGGGCTTAAGAGTTATAAATATCATGAACACATAGAAATACCATAAGCTCTTTTTTACATCCCTATATAGTATACTACTAAAGGAAATTAAAGGTGATAGAAGTCTTAATGTGAGTTCATTTGTTTGAAAGTGTTGAATTTTAGGGATGATGCAACTGATTAATTTCAAATCTCTCAATTCATAGGTAAGGCCTCTCACTCGTTGTTGGAGGAACCTGCATATCAGGACACCGCTCTATCTTGGAATCTGGTTCGAGGTTAGTCAAATGGGAATTCCAAATTAAATGCATTGTTTACATTGGTTATTAGGAGTTAATAAAAGTCCTCTACAGGAAGTGGTATGATTGAAGTGAAGATAAGTAAGTCTTCAAGTTATTATGTTGCTGTGGCTAACTCCAACATGAAGGACGTAGAGGTAATAATAACGGATCAAGTATTGGCTTTGTATAATTAAGGTTTGGTTTCTGTTGTGTTTTTGCAATGTCCACTCTTTTTTTTTGAGATGATATTTGTTCAGGTGGAACTAGATATTGATGTGAGGGCTGTCTTGTATGACACTAAACAATCAAACTACAAGTGTACCTTCAGCAACGGCGAGTGCACATTGTCTCTTTTTGGAAATTCTATTGTCTTAACCTCACCAGCACAGAGACAGGTATGTATTCTGAAAGGAAACAAACCAACAAAATTTATATACTATTACTCTCAGCTGAATGAAAATCTCTCACTGCCTCTGAGCTAAGGTAACATCTGTTGAAGATGAAGATGAAGAATGGAATATCAGGTTTTCATACCAACCTAGATGGACTTCATATGTTGTCATCACCGGTAAACTTTTCAATCATTTCAAAGCAACTTCATAATTAGATGAGCAATGGAAAGTTTCTTTTCTTGGAAACAATTACATGTAGTATTTTTGCATATGCAGGTTTGGTGGCTTGTTTCGCGCTGGCAGCTATACAAACATGTAGAAGGTTATCACCGTGTCTTGGTGAAGAGAGAGATCCAACCGAAAATGAATCAGCGAGAATACGTCTACTTGCAAACAAAGATGATGATGTTTCAAGCATGGGTTCGTCTGATGGTTCCTACGCAGCAGATGATTTTTTTGATGATTTGGAAGATTTTTTTGGTAATGAGGGTAATGGTACTAGACGTCTCTGTGCCATCTGTTTTGACTCCCCAAGAGACTCCTTTTTCTTGCCGTGTGGGCATTGCGTCGCATGTTACCAATGCGGAACAGAGTAAGTGTTTTGTCCAACTAATATGTCTCTCTAGCTTAGTTGATAATCTACAACTAGACATATCAAAATCTACTAACTGCAAAATAGTCTTATCGAATTGGGAATTGATCTAAAGATAACTAACATTGTGATGGTCTAAAAAAAAAAACATTGTGATGGTCTAATGTATGTGCAGGATATCAGAGGCTGCTGGGAGTTGTCTGATTTGTGGAAGGAATATGAAGAAAGTGAAGCGTATTCAACATAATTAAGTTGGATAACAGTGTAATATGAATTAATAAAACTCTGATCCAACATAATTAAGTTGGATATATAAAATATTAATAAAAATATAATTTAAATATTTTACAAGGCTCAGTTCTTTCTCTGCATTATTCTTTTCTTCCCATTGTTTAACCACCACAGGGTAGGCATTATATTGATTCATTACATTCCGAAATGGAATCGAATACCCGAATCGGCGAGTCAGGATCCTAGCTTAGCATTAGAATGTTACTTAATGCAGACTGTGGGAGAAATGAACTGGTATTATTTTGGTGACTTAGAAAAGTCATTTATTTTACTTGCTATAGTGACGTTTGCTTTTCATAGGTCACGATTTGTGGAAGGAATATGAAAAGTCTTAGGTCACGATTTTGCTTTAGTTCCAAGTTATCGTTTACCAAAATGTATTTACCGGATAATGAAATGCAAAATAGTTCACGCACATCAATAGGTGATTCAACAACCAAAGCTTCTTACATGTTTTCCAAACATCTGTCGTTACCTGCTTATTGTGATGATATAATCAGAAATGGATTAATTAACCATAATTGGACTTTTGAGGCATTGATTACATTAAACATCGCTATCTCGATATCCTAATCAATATTTCGATAGATAATAGACCTAAAAGTTAAACGTACATCTAGATCACAAACATGCAATAGATTCAATATGTTTGCTTGTACAATAAGTCACACTTTCTTTTAGCACAAAAAAACTCGAACTTCTTCCCGACTAGTCTAGAATATGGAGCTCACATAATATTTCAGATAAGCTCATCCTAGCGTTAGTCCCAGCCTCTTTGCATATTTAGGTATACTTATATTAAATTAAACGTCTCTTGCTGTTCTAATCAATTTATCGATAGGTTTAAATGTAGAGATAAAACGTACATTTTAAACACGAGCAAGCAAATAAATTCAAATACGTAAAATAACGTATTGAAACTATTTGCATGCTCGTGTGTATCAATACAACTTTCTTAAATAAAGGTGCCTGCAAATAGAATTTTTATAACTATATTATTGTACAAAGATTTAATTAAGGAACTAATTAGTGAGAATGTTATATTAATGATAACTTTTTGTAGTCAAATATATAATTTCTCTTTTTTCTTTTGGCAACATCTTTATTTAATAAACAGCTGATTAAATTGTAATAAGTCAAACTTAAAATAATCAACTTCAGGAAGGATAAATTAGGTATTTTTGCTAAAGAAACTTTTAAAATCTATAAAACGACATCGTTTTCTTTGAAAGAACGAAGATATAACTATGAAACGACGACGAATCATATTGAAGCAGATTATAGAAATGTCCTCAAAGAAGTCAAACCTTATATATAGCCTTTGACTACCGTCGTCTATACATTCTACCGTTCAACGACGGAGAGAAAAGACGGAGACTCGCCGGTTAACCACTTTTCAAACAGTAACCGTCACATTAATAATCTTTCCCTTTCTCTTCATGGGTTCACTTCCTCACAGTTTCTCAGGTCTTTTCTCGTTTTACTTTTTGATTGTTTCGTCAATTTTACCTCCCTCCTTGACTCCTCTCATTTCGCTTCCATTTTTTTGCTTCTCCCTCTCTCTCTCCCTCTCTCTCTCTAGAATGGCCGAGATGGATTCAGCTCCTCTTCCCTCTGCACCGGCGGTGGTCTCACCGAATTCTTCTTCTTTGTCATCGTCTGATACAGAGGAAGTTGTTAACTATGGGCATTCTGGGAATTTCAATCAGCCCCATTTTCCCGCGCGGGTGAACACTTCAGTGTCTGATTGTGAACAGAACGGGTCCTGCTTCGTTGTGGTTCTTGTTTTGTGTTGCTTTGGTTCGTTTCCGATACTTTAATTTCAAATTTAACGATTTTGATTTGAAAGTCTTGTCCTTTATTTTTGGGTACTATATGATTCAGTGGATTGTTTTTTGAAATCTTGACTGATTCTCGATGACTCAGTGTCGATGGTTATGATTGAGGGTGTATACGGACCAGAAAATGTCTGGATTGGACCAAATTCATCCATTCTTATTGAACCAAACCCCATTTTTGTCCAAAGTGTAAAGGTTGTTCACTGGTTTATAATTTCTCTTTCTCTTCTTTTGTGCTCCTGAAAGTATTTTCTCTATGAAAAACTTTTCTAACATTGAGAAATGTTTTTTTCTGTTAGGTGAAAGATTTAGATGAATCAGTATCTGGACTTGAGCTATTTGGGTTCTACAGATCTCCTCCTCTTGATGTTGTTGTGAATTGGTCAGAATCCCGCTTGGCACCTGTCTCACATAAATCTTCCAAGGTTGGTGTAAGATTCTCAAGACTGTTTTGTTTGAAATATATGTGACTTTTTGAAAATTTTATTGTGTGCTTGGAAGGGTCTTTTTTTTGTGTAGTTCTCATTTTAAAAATTTTTTTTTTCTTTGATTTGATTGAATTCTTTTTCTTGAACTCTTAGACACAAGTTATTGCACTGATTTCATTTCTCTCAGGGATGGCCATTCTATCTGAACGAAGGAGCTTCACTAAATATTTCATATAGCGTTAAACCAAAAGGCCATTCAGTTCGGCTTGTGGTCGGTGAAGGTTGGTTTATATTAAGTTTTTTTCTTGGTTGTGTTTTAACCTATGCTTGCCTGATGGTTTGATATTGTCTGTAAGGCTGTGATAGAGTGAAAAGTCATGAACAGGAATAAAGACCTAAAAACTCTTCTTTATTGAAGAACACGAAACCTATTAAAACCCCTTAACAAAGTCGTAAAATTTCCTAAATGTGATGTTTCTCACAACTGAGACTTCATTCCCTATAGATATAGTATATACTAAAACGTAAATCAAAACCTAACTAAGGAGACAACTAGTAACAAAATAAGGAAATAGAGGAGATAGAAGTCTAAATGCGAGTGAGTTTTTTTTTTGGTTTAAAAGCGTTACCTTTTAATGATGCCTACTGATTATTTCAAAGCTCTCAATTCATAGGAATGCCCTCTCGCTGGTTGTTGAAGGGGGAGTTACCTAAGTATCAGAACACCGCTCTCTCATGGAATCTAATTCGGGGTTAGTCAAATAGGAGTTCCAGCTTATATGCATTGGTTACACTGGTTATCATCAGGAGTTAGTAAAAAGTCCTTTACAGGTAGTGGTATGATTAAAGTGAAGATAAGTAAGTCTTCAAGTTATTATGTTGCTGTGGCTAACTCCAACATGAAGGATGTCGAGGTAATAATAACTGATCAAGTAATGACTTTGGATTAAGTTTTTGTTCTGTTTGACTGTTTTACTTGAGTTGAGATGATATTTGGTTTAGGTGGAACTGGATTTTGATGTAAGGGCTGTCTTGTATGATACTAAACAATCAATCTACAACTTTACCTTGAGCAAAGGCGAGTGCACATTTAATGCAATGTCTCTTGTTGGAAATTCTATTGTCTTAACTTCTCAAGAACCGAGACAGGTATGTATTCTCAAAAGGAAACACACCAACAAAATTTATATACACTACTCCTTACTCTCAGCTGAATACTCATCTCTCACTGCCTCAGGGAGTATCCGTTGAAGACCAAGAATGGTATATCAGGTTCTCATATCAACCTAGATGGATTGCATATGTGATCGGCACAGGTAAACTTTGAATCATTTCAAAAGAATTTCATAATTAGAAAGTGTCTCTTTTTGGAATCAGTTACATGATGTAGTATTTTTGCATATGCAGGTTTGGTGACTTGCTTCATGCTGGTAGCTATACAACTTTGGAAAAGGTTACCATGTCTTGTTGGAGAGAGATATCTAACCGAAAACGATTCAGCGAGAACACGTCTGCTTGCAAACAAAGATGACGATGGTTCAAGCACGGGTTCGTCTTTTGCAGCCGACGATGCTGAATTTGAAGACTTTATCGGCAGTGAAGGTGAAGCAAGTAATGGCACTAGACGTCTCTGTGCTATATGTTTGGATTCTCAACGAGATTGTTTTTTCCTGCCCTGTGGCCACTGCGTTTCTTGTTATCAATGCGGAACAATGTAAGTTTTTTTTTTGTCCACGAATATGTCCCATTCTAATTGATAAATAATATACATCTGTCTATATCAAATCCTCTTATCGTAATACCGTATTGAGATTGATCTAAAATATATAACATTGTGATGGCCAATATGTGCTCAGGATAGCCCAAGCTGCTGGAAATTGTCCAATCTGTAGAAGGAAAATGAAGAAGGTGAAGCGAATTTATACAGCATAAGATGTATCAATAACTCTCCATCATAATGTTGGAATCTATAGAGATATGATTGAATATTGAGAAGGCTATGTTCTTTGTTATGATGCATTATCATTACGTCTTCTTTGTGATCACACTATTGTTGAACCACCACAGGGTAGGAATTTTAGTGAATCATTACATTCCGAAATGGGATCGGAACCGGAATCGGTAACCACCCTAGTTTTGTAGTCGAGTATTAATGCGGTACTGCGGTGTGATTGAACTGCTTGTTCCTCACTATGTCATCAATACAATGCGAGTTAATTCTATCGATTAATATAATTCTACGAGGAAATACTTATTATAAGCAAGCACCTGATGTATTGAATTAGAGAAAAGAGGTACAAATGTATTTTAATGTTTGCCATACGTCATTTATGATTTTAACGTTTACCATACTTCATTTATGATTTTAACATTTGCCATAAACTTATATATATATATATATATATATATATATATATTATGGCTTTGTGATTATAACATTTGTATTACAAGCACCTGATGTATTATGGCTTTGTGATTTTAACATTTGCCAAAGGTCATTTATGTTATCATACACTTGTTTAGAGCCAAATACAGTATTATCACATGCTTCTCTTCAGTGCACAAAACTCTACACCCAACTTCTCTTCAATACAGTTCTTCTCCTCTTCTTCCTTCTCTCCTTACATTTACATCTTCAACCTAGGTTTACGTTTAGAAGATGAGGATTCTAAATAGATTTGTGTACAACACTGTTTGTATAAAAATAAACGTACACGCCTCTGATAATCGAAATGGTTGTCTATAATACATTAGTGTCGAAATGTAGTATTTTTCCTCCTTTTTTTTGTCAACAACTCACAATGTTCATGAATGTCTTCTTTTTTGCATAAGTATTGTAATGTAATGCCTCAAAAATTTCTTGTGATGGAAAACAATTTTCCTTTGGTTTTGATGAATAGTAATATCAATATGTAAATTAGACGATGATTATTTCTTCAATCATTTTTGAGTTAGTTACAGACTTACAGTGTTGAGATTATTATCAAATTTGGCTTTGATTGAAAGAGAGACATCTTTAGTTTTGATTTTTGAATTTTTTTTTTTAAATAACTACTACTATTTCCTTAAGATAAATCTATATGTTACACAACTTTTTTTTTGGTCAAAATGTTACACAACTTACAAAAATTTCTAATATTTTATAACAATACTTATATTTGTTTTTCCATTAAACAAATACCTTGTTAAATATTTATTTTCTATACAACCATCTATCTCTCACCTCATTCATTCATTTTATTTCACAAAAACAAGTATTATCCCGTTCATTTTTCACCACATACACAAAATACAGAACTAATAATATCTCCGAATTAATTCGAGTGGTGATTCAACAAACACGATAATATAGGGAACTGAGCTCCACGTCAGCCAAAAGATCTTCTCGGAACTATACATACATTTACACAGATAGAAACAAATCTTGTGGTCAAAGTTTCCAGAATCCATACATTGTTCCTCCTCTCTACACTCAGCTCCACCATAAACAATACCCTCCTTCATCTCCAACCGTCCGATGTGCTTACTTTTGACTTTCTTCTCTCAATCAGATCGCTCAGAAGCAACAAACAAATCTCAATTCGCGCCTCCTTCTCCTTAAGTAATCCCCTTTTCTCCTCCACTCTCTCACAACAAAAACCCTTTGCAAAAATGGCAGAAGGAACCGGAGTCGTGGCGGTGTACGGAGAAGGATCCATGACGGAGACGAAACAGCAATCTCCGTTCTCCGTCAAAGTCGGTCTCGCTCAGATGCTCCGCGGCGGCGTAATCATGGACGTAATCAACGCCGAACAAGCGCGAATCGCGGAAGAAGCCGGCGCGTGCGCCGTGATGGCTCTCGAGCGTGTTCCCGCCGATATCAGAGCCCAAGGCGGCGTCGCTAGGATGAGCGATCCGGAGATGATCAAAGAAATCAAAAAGTCCGTTACGATTCCGGTGATGGCCAAGGCTCGAATCGGTCATTTCGTCGAAGCGCAGATCCTTGAATCAATCGGCGTCGATTACGTCGACGAGAGCGAAGTTCTCACTCTCGCAGACGAGGATAACCACATCAACAAGCACAATTTCAAAATCCCTTTCGTTTGTGGTTGCCGGAACCTCGGCGAAGCATTGCGGCGGATCCGGGAAGGAGCCGCCATGATAAGGACCAAAGGAGAGGCCGGAACTGGAAACGTCGTCGAGGCCGTTAGGCACGTGAGGAGCGTGATGGGAGCGATACGATTGCTGCGAAACATGGACGACGACGAGGTTTTTGCTTTCGCGAAGAAGATCGCTGCGCCGTACGAATTGGTTATGCAGACGAAGCAGCTGGGGAGATTACCGGTGGTTCAATTCGCCGCCGGGGGAATCGCGACGCCGGCGGATGCGGCGCTGATGATGCAGCTGGGATGCGATGGAGTGTTTGTTGGGTCGGGAATTTTCAAGAGCGGAGATCCGGCGAAACGGGCAAAGGCGATTGTGCAGGCGGTTACGAATTACAGAGACGCGGCGGTGCTGGCGGAGGTGAGCTGTGGATTAGGAGAAGCCATGGTTGGTCTCAATTTGGACGATAAGGTCGAGAGGTTCGCTAGCCGCTCTGAGTAAACCAATCAAATTTTAGATATTTTATTTTTTGTTTAAATTAAGTTATGAAAATGTAAGTTATTGGGCTGGAGTACGAGTTTATCATTTGGGCCCAACGGGCATTGCTATTAAATTCAGATATGTTATTTGTTCTTTCAGTTCATTTTGCCCATTTCTTAAGTGAACAGTAATTTACTAATTTTGTTAGAGAGCAATTTTTTTTTTTTTTCGTTTTAATTGCTCGATTACGTTTCGCAGCATAATAGTAATCCATCAGCGCAAAATAAAAAGGCGGGAAAGATGAAGCATGTAATATTACTAGACGTTGTGTGCTATTTGTTTGAAAACCCAAGAGATTGTTCTTCCCGGCCGTGTGGTCATTGCGTCTCATGTTATCAATAAGAAGTTAAAATATTCTGATAAATAACAAAGGACTGATATAATGACCGCACAGGAGAAAAGGGAAATATCTTAGAGCTTTAAACCAACAGCACATAAACGTTCAATATCACGTTAATGCTGATGGAATAATTTATAGATAATAAGGGTTAAGCAAGTACTAGCACTAAATGTTTCTTAGACCATTTGTTTATTCTTAGTTGATGTCATTTAAGAACAAACAAATGATGATTCGTCATTCTATGTGCCATTTGTTTTGATGTTCCAAGGAATTGCTAAAGATTCCCTACACATCATCTTTATATGGCATATACAATCATAAATTCATAAGTCAAAATCGGTTTCAAATATTTATTTCAATAATTCCTTAATGATCTGAAGGTGGCTTTAAGAATTAAAAACAGCTTAAACATTAAGTTGTGCGGTAATATCCTAGTAAACAAGTAAAAACTTAGTATAACACATGTCACTTATGTATCAGAGAGGAGAATCTCTTTATTCATATTTGATGCCTTCATTTCCCTTTTCTTGTTTTGCTTCACTGATCCAACCCTTAAAATTTGGAAGAAATATTTTAACAAGTCAAGTCGTTCAAATACGTATACGTGATCTACTTTTTTTACTTCGATTTTCTTTAAGCACTTTAGACGAGCTCCACTTTAGGACACTGGGGCTAGCAAAGCTGTAAAAACGATTCAATCGTCGGATAGGCATTCAATGTTCACAGAATCTGACCACTTATTAAAGTGTTTCTTTCTTACATATTAATGTAAGTGTACATTTTTACGTGTTATTGAGATACGACTATAAAATTACATAGGAGTAATTGATTATACAAATGATGTATATCAATTATCATCTACTTGCTAACAGTGAATCGACTTGATTTTTCCCACTAGGACCCTTTTGCCTAATCAGAAGACGGTACTCGTCGAACCTTATCGGTTTATAAAGAGCAGGTTGGTTTTCGGTTAATAGTTCTTTCACTGGTCCGATCGGGATATTACTTCTCGGGTTATAGAAGAGTGCCAAAGAGACTCGATCCATACCGGAATTAACGATCACCTGATGCTCCACGCTTTTGTAAATCCCATTGCTAAGTATCTACAATGTGATCCAACAGATTGTTGATTAGTATTCGCATATCTGGTTCCATTTCAAGAAAGTAGTTTCAAATATCACATAATACCAAGAAGATACGAATTTGCTAAAAAAATCTTTACCGTTATTAAAAATGTATGCACTGGTGAATAGAAACACAAATAAAAATACTTATATATATATATATATATATTCTGCAGATTGTAGACCTTTCTATATAACATATGAGCCTAAGACTTAGTGTCCTATTGATTTCCGCTACAACTACAGATTTACACTGTAAATTTTATTTTATCTATGTATGTTCCAATTGGAGTTTTAATTTTAAATGTAAAAGGAACTTAAAGTCCTTAAAACCATAAATATAGCGATTTGTATTTTGTTCCACAAGTTTATCTCCAACTAAAAAAAAGTCAATAATATTTGGCCAAAAAAAAGTCAATAAGATAACTAAGAAAAAATACCTGAATCTGATCTCCAATGTTAACGATCAAAGCATTGGGGACAGATTTAACGGTGACCCAGCAGTCACCACGACGGACTTGGAGGCCGGCGACGTTCTCGTCCGGGAGGACGATGGTGATGCCACCAGGGTCAGAATGGGAAGAAAGCCCTAAAGTGAGGTGTGGCTGAGGGCATTTTGGGTAGAAATTTGCCCTCAGGCTAGCCCCGACTTTGTCTTCTCCTCCAAAGGCCTTCATGAGATGGTTTGTTTCTAAACCTAAACTCTTTGACAATGTCTTAACCAGCCTCTCACACAGATTCCTCACTTCTTCTCCGTACTCTTCAATCAATTCTCTGCCCATTTAGTTTTTTTTTTTACTAGAAACGTTAATTATAATAATCTGTTTAAGAGAGAATATATACCATATAATTGGTTCCAAAAATAAATATTTTTTTCTCAAAAAATCAATATAGGTAGTTTATAGAGTATAGACCAACAACTTTTTGAATGAACAATCAGTAAAAGTTATTGAAAAAAAATCAATAAAAGATCCAGGATACATATCACACAATTTTTACATACATACGTATGTGTGTATTAATGTATATACATAGTTTTTTGTATGTATATAAAATATATCGTTATAAAAAAAAAGTCACGGTTCACATGGGTACGACCACATGAAACGTGTTCACACATGATACACGTGCCTAAATAAATATAACCAGATGCATGACGCATACCACTCAAAAACCAAAACACACACAAGCAACGTGTCCGGTGTCCCATGCAAACATTCACTTAGTAACAAATCTTTTTTAGTAAAGGGTTTCGTTAAAGACATATACACTCAGAAATATAAAATATGCTATATATATCTATTATACCTAAACTATCATATAGACGTAGATGATAAAAGCAAAGAAAATTCATGTCATGGACGAAGAGTCGAAGACGATTATATAAGAACTTGTTTCGTTGAATCTCAATAACGGTAAGAGATATATACGTTTTAATAGTCTTCAATCAAGCCCAAAAAAAAAAACTTATCATTTCTCTCTTATCACTTATAACTATTTCGTTATTTTTGGCACCATTTTTACGCTAAAACCTATTCACCCCGTTTTGTGGCTGTGATATAAATTACATATATGTATTGTGCATATGTATATACCTGATCTTAGGAGGCTGAGATGGCCACTTGGAAGGGTTTCTTATGGAAGAAGGCAAGTAGTTGAGGTAGAAATAATCACTCCAATCTAATTTAGCATCTTTCACAACCCCAAGCCTGCTTCCATAGCCTTCGTACGTCTCCGGTGAGTTTGCATATTTTCGTTTCTCCTCTAACGGTAGCTCGAAGAACTCTCGCCAGGCTCCCCTCACTCTCTCCATCAGCGCGTGGTTCACACCATGGTTCACCACCTGGAAGAAACCCCACTCCTCACACGCGCTTCTCACGCGCCTCAGCCCCTCCGGTTTCTCCCACACGTCGCTCATGTCTAGCACGGGGATTTCCATCTCAGCATCGGAGTTGTAGACCGGTCTCTGATGTGCCGGTTTCACGTACCGGTTTGGGACGGTGGATAGGCCAGTTTGCGACAAGGCTTGGACGGAAACAATCGGCTCAGGCCAGCATGCAGCCATTTCTTTTCCTTTTTGTATTGTTTTGTAAATCAGAAGAAAGGATTAGAAGACACTCAAGTAGAGAGATGTAAGGGAAAGAATGAAAGTTTTGGATGGTAGAACAAGCTAGGACGAGTGGGATATATATATATATATATATATATATATATATATATATATGAAAACAATAATTAAACTGAAACGAAACGTGAAACAATTAATGATACGATATTCTTTTATTCCACTTTTGTTTTTGGATTTTGAATTTTGAGGTCGACCTAATTAACTTTGCATGTTGAGCTAGTTGGATGATAAACATAATAAGACACGTTTTTTTTTAGAGTTGTAGATAAATGTCGACAATATTTTTCTTTTTTTGTCTTCAATGACTTTTGAAGTGAGGGAGAATAAATTGGGAACGATTTCGGCGCCGTGCGATGGTTTGCAACTCATTTATTAATTAAGAGCTAATGGGAGAGACCAAAAGCTAACACTTTTATCTTCAAGTGTAGTTAGTTGTCGACATGTCGTGTCCTACTGAACTCTTTCTCCAACTACTTACAAGCTTCACACTAAAATTTCACTTTAATTAACATATTGAATAATAGCTTCGTTGCCTCTTCTTCTTTTTCTTTTGTAGCAATAGATGCATTGACGCACACTAGTATATCAATAATCTGTATGTCTATTAAAACTATTAGACAAGTGTTCGATTCTTATAGTTACAAATGAAACAAAATGCATCATGTACCGTGACTTCAAAAGAACCGAACAAGATTAAAGATTTTACGTTGGAACACCATAACAGAATTACCAACATTATATTGAACAAAAATACCCAACCAGAATTGTATTTCTATAATTGAGAACATCTTATACTTTACATTATAGTCTTGATTGGTAAACCACTAAAGAAAATTAAGGAAAATTCGTTTTGGACAACGTTTTCTTTGCAGTGGTTGTTTCATCTTTTGATTGATATGTGGGATGAATAGTTGAAGAGCGGAATAGTCAAATAATTAAGGGAAGCGAATTGTATATTACTGATATTAACGGGACCATATAGTAAAACAAGGCAATGTATTTATGCTTATGTATCAGTATCACATGTCTTAATTAGAATCGGCTGAATTCATATTCTGGGTAAGCGTTTCAAATCGGCTGAATCATCAATGCTATTACTCATATCGTTGCGAAAGCTACGCTACTCAAATTACATCAATCAAGACTACGTTTATTTAAGCTTCTTAAAATGATTATTTTGGTTATGTGAAAAAAATATTATATTCACGTCGAGAAATTAACAATTTATATGGGAGATTAGCTTCAGCACGAATTTATACTGCAACACTTCTTGTTGATTATTCTCGTACATTTCGTTCTGATATTAAAATCAATATTGTCAATAAGATATAAAATCCATTTTTCTCAAAAAAAAAAAAGAGAGATAGAAAATAGGTAGTGTACATTTTGTACTGGGCCGTGCGCAAGATTGAATATTATTTATCTGTTTAATGTAGTCAGGCAAAAAAAAATGTAGATTAGGCATAAACTTACTGTCTAAAAATAGCAAAATCTTTGCGGTGATTCCATTGCAGAGAATAAACCCACACGAGCAATGGATCAGTCCGTTAAACCCGTACAGTATCTTAATCCGTTTATAGGACGGAGTAAATAAAGCGATTTAGCACATCCTGACACCTCTACGTGTGACTGTCGTGTCGGGCCCAATAATAAAGAAGGCCATAAACATTTCAACTATTATTTACATTTAACAGAAAAAAAAAATTCAAAAGAATGAGAAATCAATCTTTTTATTTCCATAACCAAACTTTAAAATCCTGCTTCGGAAATTTACGTTTAGAAAATGCCCAAAAACAAAAAGCCCAAAAGAGCCCAAAAATCCTTTATATCGTCTAGTTATGATATCTGGTTTTCAAGATAGAAGATTTACAATAGGATCTATCAAGCCTTTCACATAAATTTGAAAAATGTATTGAAGGGTGAAATGAGCTTCATGGAGTTTGGAACAAGTGAACCATTACTCGCTTTACGCGCGGAAATAAAATTCCAACTGATACTAAAAAAGAAACTTTATATATTTAAGACTAAAACTATAAAAGAAACCTATATATCAGATATGATCTTTGATATCAAAAACCAAAAAAAAAAAAATCACGGAAAGATGTCCGATTTAGGTATCTCTCTGTATTCTTAATTTCTTATGATGGTATACCGGATTTTTTAGGAAATGATCCCTAAATCTTTGTTATGTATATTTTAATTATTATTTTTTTACCCAGGAAAAATAGAAGTATTTTAAATTTCTTTTGTAATTTCTATATACCTAAAATCAAATATCTTTAAAAAGAAATTAAAGTTCAGTTTTAGCGAAACAAAACTTGTAGACTGGATTTTAATTGTTACTAGATTTTAACTACGTGCGTTCGCACGGAAATGTTTTTTTTTTATTTCTAATATAAGTTGCATTTATATTTTTTGTTTAGATATAATTTATCTTTGTTATTTAATTTTTTAGATTAAAAAATTGTTATCATATTTTAATTTTTAAACAGTAAAATTTGTATATTAGTAGAATAAGAGTATACATTAATTAAGTATACATTGATCTGATGTTAATTATAAACTTTGTTATTATGTGAATTTAGATTTACACATAAACAATTTATATATCTATGAATTGCCAATCCATCCGTTTAGTTGTCTTAAATTATTTTTAATATCTTACATGTTTTGACAAATTAACCCGTATAAGACTATAATTATAATTGTATAACCCTATAAATATTTACTAATATGGAATATTTGGACCAATTGATTATGAAAAATATAATAAGATATTTATTTACTATTTGTGCTATTAAATAAATATGTATTTATATATAAAAACGGGCTAACATATTAGTTTAATTATCTCAAATCATCTTAATATCTTACATGTTTTAATAAATTAACTCATGAACCTTAAATATATAACTCTAATCAGCTCGATCATATTATTGTATAATATAAATATTTATTAATCTCAAATATTTGATATTTTAGACCGATTGTTTATGATAAAATACGATAAAATATTTATTTACTATGCATTTTTATAAAAATATTATTTAAATTTAAAATTTAAAATTAAATTTTTCCTGTATTTAAGAAATTCTAAAGTATTAAAATTATTATCTAAATTTTCGTAATAAAATTTAATTATAATTTTTTTTGAATTTTTTGAATTTAAATTAAATTTAATGTAAATTTTTGTAACTAAATTTAATTAAATTTCTAATAATTTGAAATTTAAATTAAAGATGACCTAGATTTTAGGAAATCTAAAAATATCTAAATTAATAACTAATTTTCCGAAATTAAATATAAAAATAAAATAAAATATTATTAAAAAAACTTTGGGAGTATTTGGATGCAAACACTAAATGTGCTTTTGTTTTAATAGAATAGATGAATCTTATGAATTAGGAAGACAAATACTAGTTTGTGTTTTTGTACTCAGGTGAAAAGGTCGAAATGTATAAGTTTATATATAGTTTCGAACCCCATCGAATATAGTTAATATGGTTTTAGCCTGTAGGCCATTAAAGTTGTTAATAGAGAGACTTGGGCATGAAGCTAAGGCTACGACTGGTCACCGTGAATTAAGAACCACACAATATCTATTATATTAATACAGAAGCACATTTAGTACTTGCTTCCAAACACTCCTAATTTTTTTTAAGTGTTTAAAAATAATTTTAATAATTATATATAATTAATTTCGAAATTAGTTATTAATTTAAATATTTTTAGAGTTCCTTAAATATAGGTAATTTAGATTTGATTTGATTTGATTAAAAATAATAAATCAGATATTAATTTAGATTTGATTTAAAGATTCTAATTTAAATAATTTCTATACTATTAAACATTTTTATCAAAAATATCTAGAATTTTTGAAAAAAAAAATTCACATATGAAAAATAATGGTCATATTTGAAATATAAAATATTTATAATGATGTAAATGATATGATATTTATGTTGTTTATATAATATATTTATGATTATGATTTATTTACAAACTAATAATAAAATAATAGGTAAAATTCAAATGTATAATTTAAATATTAAAAATATATTTTTTAAAATTCATAGAACTAAAAATATATATAAAAAACCGGGTTACAAATATTTTGGTAACTAATATCACTAATTTTAAATTATACATGTATATTAAAAATATATTTTTCATACAAAATCAAAACATAAAAAAAATTAAAAAATTATTGCATACACTATAATGTGGTTTAAAAAACCAGTTATACATTCCCTTGGTTGATTAAATTTTAGAAAACTATAATGCTATATAATACTGCTAATACATCTCAAACTTTTAACAAATATTTATATTATACGGTAATATGAACGGAAAATTAGAATTATGTTTTTATAATAGTTCATTTTGAATTAATATTAGCGGACGGGTTAAAATTATATTTTATAATCATAATTAATTTTAATAATATAAAAATATATCTAAACACAAAAATAATATTTTTCGCTTATTAAAAAATATATTTATAAAAATAATTATATCTAAACTCAAAAACACAAATTATATTACAAAATTCGTTAAACAATAAAAAATATTCCCGTGCGGATGCACGGGTTAGAATGTAGTTACAAATTAAAGTATACTAACCGAAACTTCTCGCAATGGTGATGCAACGTCAACGCAATACAATCGTCACATTATTAGATTATAAACTAACAAGTGATGAAAAGCAGTCTTTAAACAGAAAATAGCCCAATTTAGAATCTTAGATTCAAAGTTTGCTTAAAGACCTTTACACTTCAGTAAGAAAATATTACTAACACTCACCAATGTGTTTTACTTAATCCATTCAATTATATGTTTATTGAATAATTCTCTCAATACCACAATTTATATTTTGTTTTCACATTTTTTAATTTATAAATACCTTATTTGAAGGGATTTTTTCTAACTGATTTGAAGAACCATTTAAACAGTTTAGGAATCCTCGGAAAACAAATAATTTGTAGTAATTTTTTAATTTTTTTCAAAGTCGTAGTATTTTTGAAAATATAAAACTGGTATTTCTTGAAAGTACTCAATTTCCCATCATATGCTAGTTGGATTCTGACCAAAAATGATAATTTCTTACTCTATTTTAGAATATCAGCTAGCATTTGTCAAAGAGCTTCCAAATATAAATGAATTTTCTAGAATTGTCATACAAGATTAAGGTCTATTAGCTGGTTGTTGAGTTAGAACATTATAAAGTGGCACTGGAGTCCAAATGATTTCATATTATAGAGCTTTGTGAACTCATATTTTCATAACTATGATCTTCATAGACAATGAAAAGAAAAACCACGTTTTGTGAGTGAAGATAAATTTCTAGACTAACCGAAATCGAGTGAGAATGATTTTCACGTACGTATCGATAATAGACCAAAGCGATTCACATACTAAAACTCTAAAACCCAAGACTGCTTTTCATCCAAATAATTAGGTGACAGTTAATCTCAAGAAGAGAGTGGTAATAAATCCATTTCATAAACATTATTGGATTGATTATACGTTGACTGTCGAATCTGAAACACTATTCCCAATTTAAAGTGATTAATCACATTATGAGAAAACGATAGAAATATCTACATCCCTCATCACCAGTTGATTACTTTAACTAGACGCTAATCCTTTTTGCTATAGGCCATTTAAATAAATAATTTAACATATAAGTGTACTAAGATCAAGCACGACACATTTTACCGAAAGTTTTTCTTTAATATTTTGTCAAAAGAAAACAAAAAAAAAAAGTAAATTATATTAGAAAAATTCAAAGAGAAAGAAAGAGAAAAAAGTAAACGCGTAGACAGATGGCGACAGGAGAAAGAGAGAGTGGAGAAGAAGAAAAGAATTACGATCAAAGAAAATTAGACATCTTTCTCTCGACGTTTCACATTACAAAACTCAAAACAAAAGAGAAAAAAGAAAACAAAAAATTGTATTTTTGTTTTTTCATTTACGATCTGAAAAGTGAAAGCTCCTCCAAAATCTAATCTTTGCCTTTAGAGATCGTTGGGTGATTCTTGTTTCTCTTTTACTTATTTTCTTGATTCTTCATATGGATGGGCATCAGCAACACCTTCACCAGCTCCAATACCTCAACAAACATCACCATCACCATCTTCAGCCCCACTCGCAAACGCCGGAAATAGCGTCTCCAACGTCTGCTGCGGCGGCCGGAGATAGGTTTCCGCAGTGGAGCATAGAAGAGACGAAGGAGTTGATAGCGATAAGAGGAGAGTTGGATCAGACTTTCATGGAGACAAAACGGAACAAGCTTCTCTGGGAAGTTATCTCTAACAAGATGAGAGACCAGAGCTTTCTTCGTAGCCCTGAACAGTGCAAGTGCAAGTGGAAGAACCTCGTCACTCGTTTTAAGGTCACACAATTAATCCTTTTTTTTTTCTTTCTTTCTCTTTCCTTTCATTTGATTTGTACATATTATGTTTGATTTTATAGTTTGTGCTATGCTTTGAGACCGTGCATGAAATTATGTTATATGCAAAATAAATATACATACCTTTTTGTAACCAAGAAATTCCAAATTATATAGTAGTCCATACTCTTTTTCGGGTCATTAATTAGTATTTTCCCTAGCTATATATTAAGGTAGAGATCATCGAAGTAGATACGTTTATACATGCATGTTATCTAGCTCAATGGTGATGTATTTCTCAGGGATGTGAGACAATGGAGGCAGAGACAGCAAGACAACAATTCCCTTTCTATGATGATATGCAAATTATATTTACCCGTAGAATGCAGAGAATGCTGTGGGCCGAATCCGAGGGAGGAGGAGGAGGGGGAACAAGCGGGACAACGAGAAAGAGAAGCCACTTGGAGCAGTTTTCTTCAGATGAGGAAGAAGAGAATGTGAATGAAGAGCTTGTAGATATCAGCAATGACCCGAAAATGCTAAACCCGAAGAAGAACATTGTAAAGAAGCGAAAAGGAGGTAGTACTAGCACTAGTGGCATTAATAGTGTAAGAGAGATTTTGGATGAGTTTATGAAATACCAGATGAGGATGGAGAACGAATGGAGAGAAAGATGGGAGGCGAGAGAGAAGGAGAGAGCAGAGAAAGAAGAAGAGTGGAGAAAGAAGATGGAGGAGCTAGAGAAGGAGAGGGTGGCAATGGAGAGGATGTGGCGAGATAGAGAGGAGCAAAGACGGTCTAGGGAGGAGATGAGGGCAGATAAGAGGGATTCACTTATCAATGCATTGCTTGCTAAGCTTACTAGAGATGGTTCTCTCTAATATTTTGTCAGCTTTTCTTTAACGTAAGTTAACTTGTTCTTTCTATGCTCTTGTTTGGGATGTAGGTTTAGTTATAATACATGGAAAAGTTCAACAGTCATATATTGATTGATATGAGGACACATTTCAGTTTTAGTAGGACTTTAGTAATATATTAACGGATTAACCCCACATTCTTTTCTTCCTGGTTTTGATTTTGGTTAATTTATTGGATTAATTTGCATATAATTTAATTTCAATGTTATAATGGTTTAGTTGGAACCAAGTTTCGTTACATCAATTGGGGATGAATGATGATAACGGAATGAATGGTGTAGAATAATTGGATTGGACGAAACATGCAGATTTGCAGAATAACGCATGTGTACACGTTCTTTGAAATGATGGTTGGTCCATCTTAAACCGAATAAATAATAGCACATGTAAGAAAACATACTTATATCAAATTAACTAGGTTTTGATATTGTTATTTAAAAAAAATTGAACTTTCAACTCAAAATTAAGGAATAATTAGTGAGATAGTGCATGTTTTTAGACCTCGTATTTTATACGTGATATCCTAAAAATTTCTTTTGCCTTTAACTTTGTTTAAATCAGAAAATTTGTAGTATTTTAGTTTTCTTTTATTTGGAAGTTATATAAAGTTTCGCAAATGGAGCTATATCCCTTGCGAAATATACATCCTATGCTATCCTAAGAATATCTAGGAAAACTTTATCGAGATCTTCAGTTTTGGATAGTAGCCGACTCTTGTCACATCAGATAGACCCCTCTATCTTTAGTTTTTATTTTCTTTATCTTTTAGGTCAATAATCTCATCAAACCAAGCATCAAAACATGTTAATTTTATTCCTTTCCCGTTATCATTGCTCGTACTCGAGACCTTGCCGAATTTTTGTTTTGGATGACAAGATATTACACCGGTTGTGTTAGCACACTTGCAAAACTACATTGCAAAATATGCCTGACAATTTTTAAAGAATTTTATACTAGTCTTTTATTAGATTTTAATATTTGAATTGGATTTTTTTTTTTTTTTTTTTTTTGCAGTGGTTTGTCAATCATTTTATATAAATGAGTTATATTGTGAAACTGATGATTCAAAGAATTTTTTAGGATAATAGATTTGCTGAAAACAGACAGGAGAAGTGGCAGACATAGTTATCTTTCTCCCACGGCTGGATCAAAAATTTCAAAACATAATCGTTTTCTCCTTTTTGTATTCGATATCAACATGGTAAGTAACTTCACCGCAATAATATCTTTATGACCCATAAGAATATCTAAAATTCAAAACATTAAAAAGGGTGTATATAAAGAAAGAGAAAAATCTTCACGCGCTTAGCTTTGGTTAATGAATCAGTGAATCATGGATCGTTTCGTTGAAAGGGACAATAAGACATACTGTCACCGACATTGACCTTTTTGGTGGCAAAGCAGATTAAAGCCCCAACTTTGTCTCCTTAAGACTCGAGAGATCGGTCAAACAATATACATTTCACTATAAGTGTCCTTGTAACATTTTTTTACACATGTAATTTCTAGTATACCTTTTTATTAACAATCTCTATTTAATCTTTAGCGTGCATGTGTACACACTTGCAATTTCAAGCAAGATAAGTTGCACCTGGCTTAACAGCTACTAAACGTAGACATATTCTCCTACATAAAGTTGTTAGTGACATTTACACGTGCTAAGGTACATAGATATTGTAAAAGAATATGTAAACTTTATAAATGCAAAAAACAAGCAATATAAGTTTGTAGAGCTACAAAAGATATTCCAAGAGTTTATAAGGATTCGCACTTACAAATGTTTTGAGTTACACAACTAAGATATAGAGAAAGAAAATGGGATGAAACTAATTCAACATATTGCCAAGTTCTCCATTCTCATACATTGAGGTCAATATGTCACAACCTCCTAAAAGTTCTCCTTTCACAAATACCTGTGGAAACGTTGGCCAATTGCTGTAACTCTTCAGCTTCTCTCTTAGCCCGTGATTATAGTCATCGTCAAGAACATCTACTGTTTCATAATCCACTCCTTGGCTTTCAAGAATCCCAACCACTCTCTGTGAGAATCCACATTGGGGAGCACTTCTCGATCCTTTTATGAAAGCTACCACTTTGTTCTCTTTCACTAACCGGTCAATCAGTTCCTCTAAGGGAACAGTGAGCTCGACATGGCGTCCTGGAGTGAGACGGATATCAGATTTCTTCCTCGGAGTCTGTTTGACCCATGTGTTGTTCCCTTGCTTATTCCCCGCCGGGACTTTTCCGGTTACTTTTATGTGTTCTTCTATCCATGATTTCCATGCTTGTGTTAGAACCGCTTTGTCCGGTTCTTCTACTATACCAACCTAGCAACAAATGATGAACCATTAATTCAAAATATCAAAAATGCCAAAAAGAAAGAATATACTCAAAGTCGTTGTTCTTCATAAGTCCATGAGGCAAAAAAATAGACTCAATGTCGTTGTTGTTTATAAGTCCATGGGGGCAAACAAACACCAAAAGGGTCCTTACAGCTTCTATTTCCATGTTAATATGTAATGTTAAACTAAATTTCTAAAGAGTTATTATAGATTCGACTGTTGCAAGCTGATATAGTAAAGGATCAAGGAGACAAAAGAAACTCAAACTCTTCTCATTAGTTGAAAGAACCTAACAGAGAATAGGAATCAAAACAGAAAACAGGATAAATCCAATCTGCGAACAAAGCCGATAAACCTCACGAATCTCTTCTAACCCGGGATGAATCTCGCCAACGAGCACTATCCTGAATCTACAATAAAACTACCAAAACAAGTAATGAAGAATAAAATCCTAAATGAAGTAGGAAAGCAAAACTACCTAACATAACATGGTCAAGACTTGGAAAAATCTTTTCTTGTTCTATTGATTAGGATTCACTCCTGATTGCGTATCATAAGCACTTATTGAAATCTCATAGACGGGATTTCCTTTATTTCTCACAGTAACTATTAACAAAAGTTAGACACTTGATGCATCTACTACTCATACTCAATGACTCACTTGCTAATGTGACAATGTGTAGTTGAAGAACTCTTATCAAAAATCCTGTTCCAGAACTTCATTAGCTCAAATTCTACAAACAGACAGACAAGTTAGCCTAGTTTCCCAGGAATCACCAATAGACTTCTCGATCTCTGAAGTCTGAACGGTAATGAAAAAAAAAAGTCAACCACGAAACAGTGAATCCTAGTTAGTATATATCAATCAATCAAGATTCACAGAAACGTGTGAAATGATTCCATTTTCATGCTACTCTAGGTTTCAGATTCATCGCTACTCTATAGAATTCATTTTGATGTTATCCTTCAACAGGACGACGGCGAATCGGGAGGCGAGATTACCTTGACGGAGCCACAAAGCTCCGGCACCGATTTCAGGTGCGCAGAGACACTCGCGGCGATGTTCCGGGATATTCCGACGAACTGAAGCTCGTCGCTCTTATCGTAGACAGCGTAGACGCCGGAATCATCCGGAATCGACTCAGCCTCAGCAATCGGAAGCTGCTCCGCCTCCCCCAGAGTCTTCACGGCGGAGGCGATTAAGAAGGGACGTCGAGACCGGGCTGTGTCACGGAGTGTGAAGGAGAGAGAGGGAAAGGAGAAGGATGGTGAGAAGAGAGTAAGGCCAGGGGTATTTCTGGAAACATGTGGACGAGAAACACGGGGAGAGGCTGAGGCATGCAAAGAGGAAAAGCTGATTGCAGCCATTTTTGTCCGAGCTACGAGAGTTATCATTGGGGAATTTGAGCTGATTTGTTTCAACATATTAACTCTGTTTATATGGGCTTACATTGGGCTGATATTAAGGCTATAAAATACTTGGGCTTCAACTAATATCTGAAACATCAAGAAAAACAAGGTAAATATACATACCAAATATAGATTGTAAATTAAAATTATAATATTGGTATAATTGTAAATTAATTTATTTATTTTTTGTGATGAAGAATTTTTTCATGTACTATTTATGAATCTTAACACCCAAATTTATTTTAAAAGTATTTTTAATGTATATATGTATATATATTGCTAAATCAAGTAAATCATTAAATCATAAAAAATTAAATACAATATATTACAGAAAAACAAATTGAATACAATACAATAAAACATACTAAATACTTTGATTTCGCCAGTATCCACAACATATTTGCTATATTGACTCTTGTTGACACTAAATGTTTTGCATGTGCAACTTCTACCGTTTCTTTTATCAAAAAAAACTTCTACCGTTTCTATGTCAGCTAAATCAGATTTTGAATCTTTATTACTTATTCTCCTCTATGTTACTGTCATTATATATGCAAAATTTGCATTAAAAAAATTAAAAAGTTTCATAATAGCTTACCATTCTTTTATGTATGAGAATATTATATCTTAAAAAATCAGAAGAAACCTTTTTAACTATTTTCTTTAATATTTCAGAAAACTAAATATTATTAAATGTTTTGTTTATGTAAGTGCCTTATTTTGGTTACAAACACCTCGTACTCACATAATGATCTCCATAATTATGTGAATGGTAAAATTTTAAAGTTTGTCCCATCCCGTGGCTTCATCTGCTCCATTCAGCGTCACACGTTCAACGCCTTAAACGTTGCCACTTCTTTATTGTGGGTTTTATGGAACAACTTCATCTGAGATATCAGCCTTGCCCAGATAAACCTGTTGCATCTCCTCTCTCCAGATCTGCATCAGCTTCCATCAATTAATTTGCTTTCCAACATAAAAAAATCATCAAAAATGCGTAAGATATATAAATGTAAAAAGTCCCTACCGTGTCGCGGAACTCCACTCTTATGTGAGGCACGTTTGTTTTGTGAATGTCGTTTCCATCGGGTCCTCTCTTGTAGTAGTCTTTTCCAATCCAGTGCGACTATAACATGTCAAAGAGTAAGTATTATCAGCAGGTCGGAACGAAGACATCTTGTTAATTTATACTATAGGCTATGTTTGGTATAACATGTACCTTCAGGGCATGTGAGAAACCTGACTGGTACACTGAGTTACGAGCTATCTCGCACAGGTCACAGGAACTCAGCTTCCAAACCTGAAAAAGTCCAATTTTTCTCTTTAGAAACTAAAACTTTCTCCCTAGCAGAGAAGGATAAATCGAGTGAAGTTTCACAGCTCTTTGGTCTTTGCAATCGTAAGAGATCCATATAAATCATCATGAGGTAATAAGACTTATCTAGTGATAATTAACTTTCATGGTATATGATGTGTGACATGACTTCATAATGGAAACATAATGACTTACTGAGGCAGCTATGCTGTACTCTTCCACGAGAGGTTCTTTAGTTAAGTGAATCTGAAGGGGATCATCCGTAGACAGGGAAACATTGAGACCTCTTAAGAAAAACACAGGAAACGGGTTTCGGTGGTAATCTAGAAACAGGGAGTTGTTGCTCAGTGGCGACATGGCCAGACCAATCTGTCACAAGAAATGGAATAAATGTCCAGTCAGATGTTCTTAGACCAGAAACAATAATACGTATGTGATAAAAGCAGGCAGTCTCTGCAAACCTGAGCGAGGTAGTAGAGATACTGAAGCACAGGAGACTTTCGCAGATTGATTCCATGTGCAATGCTATGGCATGTGAGAAATGTAGCAGCCAAATGGTCAATGTCACCAGCCTGAAATTTGTAAACATCTTAAACATCCATTGAACTGAAAGTGAAAGCCGTTTATATAGCACAAAGGAAGAAATCAAATACCTCCCCAGAATGTGGCCGTAGCGTGATGGTAGTCATCCCTTTTGATTCCCGAAGCTGAAGATAAAAAGGTTACTCTATATCACACAGTTTTGACAACATTAAATTAGTTGCAGAAGAGATTAGGAATAGTACCTTATTTAGCACATAGAGGTTAGCATAACAATAGTAGACATAGTACGAAAATGCAGGATTAAATGCGTTAGTCCATTGAGCTGGAGTGGGCATGTGTTTTGTGGGACGTCTTTCAGGTTTGCTTTCATCATCGACCAAATCAAATCCAACAACCTGAAATGCCAAACGAGAAACGAGCAAGAAAACAAAAGAAGCAATCAAACAAACAAGAAACTATGACCAGTTAAACCAACTTTCTAATAGTTGAAAGACATGCGAATTGGGGGTTCTCTGTAGATAGAGATGCCAACCTGCTTCAAAAAAACATGGAGCTGGGGATGCGAGTCGGGATCTACCGTGGCCTCAAACAGAGGAATGAATATATTGTCAAGGATATTCTGGAACGATGTCACAATACCCATGTCCTTGTAAATGTTGTACAGGCGTGGGAGCTAGTGAGCAGAGAGACATAAAACAAGGGCAGTATAGCTCAGTTAGCAATCATGTGACAAACATACGGAGAGCGAGAGAGAGAGACATACACTCATGGTCAAAAACTAAAAAAAGAGAAGCACAAAAGCATCAAAAAGATAGCCAACCTGAATTAACCAGACAACATTCTCACTGTATAGATCATTGTTCACAATCCAACTAGCCAGTTGGTCCCACTCGCTCATTTTTCGGCCGTATATAGATATTCTGTATTCAGCCATCTGCAGTGTTCAAAGCAGACATCGGTAAAGACAATACAGAGCAATTATGAATCTGCTTTGGCAAGAAGATTCCTTAATACATATATTGAGCACAGTGCCAGGAAATATATTTTCAGAAAAGTCGATCCGCAGCACAATGGCACGGAGAAAGTTAACCGTAGTCATATGAAAGAAATTGAGTGTTTGATGTGGTCACTGAGACTACAAACCCAAAGCTGTAGTTATGCTCTCTGTCTATATAGCATATGCAACAAGAAATTGGAAGAGTGGTTCAGAATTATCTGGCTTTGGGTTTGTAATGACTACGGGGGAGTGGGGAGAGATCCATTACAAAATCCTAAGTCTCTTTATATTTCCAGCAGATTACTATTTACAAAGCTTAGTTATTATAGAATTGACTGTAACGGTATTCTTATGTTATCATGGTCGTCAATGCATAAGACTAGATTACTGCAAATGCACGTGGAGTTTACCTGATACTTGCTAGCTTCAAGGTCCGAGAAAACTTGTTTTGTTATCTCACCTAGAAAACGACCTGACACCAAAAATAAAAGAAATGTCAAAAGTATATCATGGAATCACAACCCTCAATATATTTTTGTATAGTATCACATGGTGAGATACATAATACGTAGAAGGAGAATAAAGCTTCTGGTATAACAACTAAACTAAGAGTGACAAGGATATTTAATTGCCTTGGATGAGATTATCCTGCTTAAGGAAAATTTCCCTAAGCCTACTTTGGCCACACGGATTATACTTAAGGTTGAACTTATCAAAGCGATGAAAGGTACTCTTGTCTGCATGAACATCCAAAAGGTCGACGTTGAGGTCATATCTGTGAAAAATTTAAACATGGAGAAGAAGGTTTACTTCATCAACGAAACAGTAAAATGTGGGGAAAAATGTAATATGACCTTGAAAAAATGTAATACATATTATCTGCGTAACAACCAGGTGGCTCCTAAGAGTAATTAACAGTCTTGCAGTTAGAAAGATGGTGATTTTAAAAATTGAAAAGTGTAGATTACCCAGTCAGATCCAGGCTCTCAAAAACTTCTTTCAAGGTCAAATATGTTCCATCCCGGAATATGACAACCTGTGTAGAGCAAAAAGTTATCATACCTGCAAATTAGCGAATTTTATACTCTCCTAAAACATATGGTTTCAATTGTTACCTCATCGGGTTCTTTCCGGAGCTTTGACTTGATAAACCTTAAAAGGTGTTTCTGGTTCATACAAGCTGAATGATGAACATGAGTGTCGACTTTCCTAACGTTATAAAAATCACGATGCGGTGCACTTTTTTGGGCAAGAAATTCTTTATCCGCATTAAGCATCAAATGGAGATTGAATTTCTGAAACACAAGAAAATCAAGATGTTAACCAGATAAAAACTTGCTTATAGAAATGAATCCTTCTCTAACTATAAAACTCTTGCCTGTTCTAGGAGCACTAGTCGACGGTGGCACAAAGTCCGGATGTTTCCTGCAGCTATGACTTTGAGTACGTGATGCAAGTCAGTGAAAAACGCAGTGGCATCAGCTACCGGGAAGAGCTCTTCTTTTGCTGGGAAAAACGAAGCAGCACACACGTCATTTTATTTGAAAAGCGTAGGATTGTAACCAAATCAACTTTTATTGGTACATGACAAAAGAAAGCATTAAATTTCCCATACTTGGGCTCTTACCATCTTTATTTGGAAAAACATGGACTACCCCATCTTGCATCTCAAAATAATGCTGTAAAGCAAAAATTAGGAAAGTTAAATTCACCAATGCATGGTGTTGCATGAAAAAAAAATAAGGAGAACAAACTTACATCAGATTTTCCCTGAGGATAGTGCGCAAATGGCTCTGGATTAGGCTTCGGGGTACTAGGATCAGATATGACTTCTTTTTCCCATGGTGCAACTGTTTCTTGGAAGACATATCTCTTCCGTAATTCAAGACATTCTTGTAGACATTTGTAGGCTTCAACTTCATCGGATGTGGGCACCTCTGAAAAGATCATGTGTAGAGTCTCTTAATAAGCAATGGATTGAACTCAAACTGTTTCAAGCTATACTTCCAAAACTATATTTCAGAGATTTCAAAGGCTCAGCTCCCTTATAGACTATATCTATTGCATTATCTGTAGTGCCACTTAATTCCTAGTCACTAGCAAAAAAATATTAAACTAGTGGGGCTTATGAATCAAACATGTCATTTTGATAACAAGACAAGAGCACCAAGAATAAAGTAACTGGAAGTCAGGCGAGATGACAGAGCGAGAAAGAAAAAAAACCTGTAATCATTCTTACCAAGAGGAACATTAAGACGGACAAAAGTTTCTTGCTCAGGCTCTTTACGCAGAATGTCAGCGGCAATAGGATCGGGCTGAACTCCATGTAGGTCACCAGACACACTGTGTGATCGGATCATGCTTGAAGCAGCCATAGATATTTGCTCTTCAGTGGCATCTGCAGGCTGCCAAAAAAAAAAAAAAATCAATCTTACTTGTAAGCCTTTTTGCTTTCTCACTAAAAGATGGTGACTAAGAAACTCACCAAGTCCCCGTTGGCTTGCAAGTAGGAAGCATCCAAACCCGCACTATCTGTCATATTATCATCATCATCTGATTCTTCCACACTCTCAAAGGCACTAGCACTAGCAACAGGGGATTTCGGAGAAATTGGTCTGACAAAGCTTCCAGTTTTCCTGATACTAGTCCCATGTACAGAAGATCTCCCTGGAACAATCACAGACTATCAGAATACTGCAAGTGTAATCAAATACGATAGCAAAAGGCAATCAAACCACACTAAACCCGAATTATTCACAATGAAATTTCACAATCACTGTTCAAGTTATGTATCCAAAATCTAATCTGATTAAATCTAGGATTGGTAAATGAAATCAGGAAGCTCCAATACCTTCTGATGGAGTATGAAGCCTGGGCAAACCAGGCGGGATTTCGTCAACATAAACATGGCCGTTGGTTCGCCCTGCATCACCTCCTCCGCCGCCGCCGCCACCATCGGTAAAGGGCGTGGCATCTGGAACCGAGGCGGGGCTGCGACCGTATTGGTCATTTGCTTTTCTCCGGACATGGCTCCGCCGTCTCCCAAGGGTTTGATTCTGATGCTGAGGCGAGTCTCCTTCGGTGTTGTCTTTCTTCTCCCTACCACGCTCAAGGACGAGATTCAGTGCCTTGAAGTGCATGAAAAACCCTGAAACAGCAACAAAGGAAGCTCCAAAGAGAGCCGCGAGGGCAAGTTGGTAAATATTGGGTTCCATCTTTGTGTGTGAGCTGGTCAGAGTCAGTGAGCAAACGATTTTTTTTTTTTAGTGGCGATGGTGGTGCAAAAGGTTTTACTTGATATTTATAGGCTCATCGACTGAAACCACGCCACTTGCAGGCTTTTGGTCTTGAAGCCTTTTATGCTAAAATTAAAAAAAAAAAAAAAAAAAAAAGTTAGTGACAAGTCTATAGGTACAAATTTTTAATAATTTCTTCATTAGTGTCCAATTATTTCGAAAGACATAAATCAGCACTAATCCTAAGAGAAATATTAGTTTATATTGCCAGTCCGAAATTTGAAGTGAAAAAGTCTATTCTAATCCAAAGATGAACTTGGGTTTAGCACATGAGTCAATATTATAAGAGAAATTTTATCATATCCTCCATCAAGTAACAAAGTTATAATTGACAAATTTAAAAGTATTATTGGCACACCAAAAACTCTTAAGAAGGTATTATATATTTCTTGCAAAACAATCCTAAGTTAATTGTCTGCCTAATTTTATTGAGTTCTAATTCGCGAAGCATCTTTTTAACTTTAGCATAAGTGGATGTTAAGTGCAATTACATCATAAACAAAATGAAAACTGAAGTTTCCAACTATACAAAAGCAAATCATTTCACGTCTCTACCACACCAAAAGAAAAAAAGAGAAAGATACAAAAAAATGAAAAATTTATAAAACGATGGTGACACCTCTAGCACCATGAACATAAGAAGGATGAGCAGCTTCTTGATCTCTCTCAAACTGTTGCATCTGCGTGGCATGCCTCGTGGCCTCGAACTTCTCTCCATCTCCCCAAAGAGCATAAGCTTCTTCTCCATGAGCCGCGTCGTCTCCAATCCCAAGCTCTTCCTCTGGCATTCTCAACGGTATAAACATCTTAATAGCAAGGAGTATGAGAGTCGTCGACACCAAATTCCAGACAGCAATGAAAGCAGCTCCGGCCAACTGTTTCAGAAGCTGTTTGCCGCCATTTCCGCGGTAGAAAGCTCCATTGCTGTTTGGGACAGGAAGATACAACTTGCAGAGATCAGGATGTGCAAACAAACCTGTCATTATTCCACCTAATATTCCGGCTACTGCGTGCGTGTAGAATACCGCTAATGTATCATCCACCTGTTTATAAAATCCAATCAATATATATCGCATTTACCACATTTTTATTTTTTATTACTAATAAAAAAATTTACATTTATTCTACAGTTTACCTGTTGGAGAAGAGTGGATTTCTTGTGAAGGATCATCATAGAGGCCCATGGAACTGATCCTGAGAATATTCCAATTATTATAGCTGCCCATGTTTGGACCAACCCTGCAAATACATTTCGTTTGTTAGTCTAATAAATTATTATTGATTACAGTTTAATCATTAATGTTAAACCAAAGAACAAAAAAAAAAAGTGTTTTGAGATAAAAGGAGAATGAGACCTGCTCCGGGAGTGACGCCGGCGAGACCAGTGACCATGCCTTGAATGGCTCCGATGACAGAAGGTTTGCCAAAGAAGATGACATCAAGTGTGGTCCACACGAGGAGGCTGGTGGCGGCGGAGAGGTTGGTGTTGAGCACCGCGATTGAGGAGGTTAAGTTGGCGGCGTAAGGAGCTCCGCCGTTAAAACCTGACCATCCCATCCATAGGAGTCCAGCTCCGGCGAGCATTAACAGAACATTGTTCGGTGGGAATCTCTCTCTGTCAGCCTGTGGCCTGGGTCCTACCTACAGTCATATGTCACACATATCGGCATTTAATTTAACTTATAATCTAATCTATATCAACATGGGACGACTTAGGAGTTACGAGTTACGACGACTCTTTCAACTAGCTAGTGTTTGCTTTTTAACTAACCATTTTCCCTTGTTTCATACGGGGACAAAAAAAATTAAGTTTTATTTTGCTCTAGGCTTCATCAATTATCTATCAAAGTTTTAGGTATTTGAAATCTACCGCAATCATTTTTGTGAATTACTATTTGGCAAAACCGGATATTTTTAGTTGAGTAAGATCATCAATATTGTAATAGGTATTTGGAGAGTTTTTTTTTCTTCACATGAAGAAAAAATAGTTTATTCAGAAATGATTACTATTCTCTCTAATTGAAGTAATCTGCGTTGCCAACACTACTATATACAAGTTAAAATCGTGTTGTCAAAATACAATGATTTTTTAATTTATCTATGACTTGTAAATTTAATTATTTTTTTGTTAGTGTATCGATCAATCATTAAACTGATCCATAAGTATAAACCTTGAAACTAGAATACGTAATCATCACGAAAGAGAAATCAAAACAAAACTTGGCAAAGTCTACATCGAAATATACTTATAAATTTTCCGCGTCTATGACCATGTCGTCTTCATCTACTGTACATGAATTAAATCCAAAATTTTCAACAAACATCAATTTAAAAAATATCTTCTTCTTCAATGTTTATCATCATCACTTCACAACCAATATTCATTTAATTTCTTTTTGGTAGTAAAAAACAAAAAAATTAGCCTCACAATTTAACTATAACTGATTCATTCTAACTAAATAAACTACCCTCAAATCTTTCTAAATTTACAAAAACAAAGAATTCCGAATTTGTTTTAACAACCAAAAGGAAAGATTTTTTAAAAAAAGAAATTGGGGAGATTATACTTACCCAGTAAGCGGCGACGAAACCGGCGACACCAGAGGAGAGATGAATAACATAACCACCGGAGTAATCAATGACTCCCCAGTGATAAAGAAACCCTCCGCCCCATAGACTATAAGCTCCGACTGTGTAGCTGAAAATTAGCCACAATGGCACAAACGCCATCCACGCTTTTATATTCATCCTCCCCAACACCGATCCCGCCACAAGTATCGTCGTTATCGCCGCGAATGTGAACTGAAAATACACCAACGTCGCCATCGGAAAATACGGCATCGTCGCTTCTTTCTCTATCTTCCCGTTCACAAAATGGACGGTTTCTGGGATCTGTAAAAGAAACAAAAGAGTCAACTTTTTTTTAAAACAAAAATCTCTCTTTTAGGCATTTTATCGAACAGCTTGTGTGCATTAACCGAAATTCAAGACCTTTGCTCGGCTCTTGAGGTATCCTTGATTGAAGGCGGGACCACCTTTGCCCCAGAAAGGCAAAAGCTCATCGCCGAAGGCCATTTTGTAACAGAGGAGGACCCAACAGAGAAGAACGGCGGCGAAGGCGTAAAGAGCCATAAAAGCGGAGTTCACGGCCCATTTCTTCTTGACGATGGAGGCGTAGAGGATTACCAGACCTGGCATGCTCTGTAGACCAACCAGAGTCGCCGCCGTGAGCTGCCACGCGTTGTCTCCTGTGTTGAGCCAATCAGGAACCGCCGGCAAGTGCGGATCGTAAGGTCCGGCCGTGCCCATCTCTTCTCCCTTCTTTTTGGAGGTTTTTCTTGATTCTAAATGTTTATAGTCAAATGGGTTATAGGAGCATGAAATTTTGTAGGTGTGAAAACCTTTGATTATAATAATGTGTGTGTGAAAATAGACAGCTCACAAGTGGGGTTTGGTGTTTTGTTGTAGAAAAGTCTTCGAAGATGGATTGATATGTTTCTCATTCTTCAATTTTGAATCTTGATATTTCAAAGAAGCTTCTTTCTTTTTCTTAAGATTAAGTAAAGAGAATCTCATGATACTAGTATATCTCTACAATGAAATGGATTAATATAATTTATCTTTCTTTCAAGTTTTAGTTTAAGTTCCTTTTCACATGTTTACAATATATATATATATATCTACTAAAGACATTAAAATGACATATAAATTAAATTTGCAAAGATTTTATTTATTTTTTGTTTGTGAAACTGTAGAGTTTTCTCCTTAGGCTTATTTATGTTGAAATTTTGGGTACCTGCGTTCGTCAGTTTTGATCGTGCGGCCATGTTTAATATTAAAGAAGTTGACTAGTGACACATCGAATGTTTAAGAAGCAAAGATTCCATTTGTTTGTTTGAAATATCGAAATTGATCCTGGCTCGAACGTTGTATTTGGCACGTTGAAGTTATATAGATTCTTTCTTTCAAAAAAAAAAAAAAAAGAAGTTATATACAGAGATTCAATTATACAACAGTATCAACGTTCTACTATTTAACGACGTCACTCCATATGGATATAGAATAAAACTTCTACAATAATATATTGGAGATACTAGTAGATCAATGTCCTTAAGAGCTAGATCAGTTAAAATAACTATCATCGTTCATTCAGAAATCATATATGATAAAAACTTTTGTTACTATTTGAGTACGTCATCAAATCATTGCACAACAAAAATGTAATGCTACATAAAAAAATGCCTAGCTAACCCGACTTCACCCACATACTTTGTCTTTAAGAGAGTCAACAACATTGTACGAGAAGCAAAAACATTAACTATGTCTATATGAACTTTATGACGATAAATCATTAGTCCTTCGCCCTACATGTGCTTTGTCTATAGATTCTATACTTATCTGCTGTATGACTATATCAAAGCATCGATTTTGTAACTAAAAGTTTTCTATTCAAAGAGTAATTAGAAAAGAAAAGGGTTGTAAAAGCCCAGTGTTAGCCCAATAAAAAGTATCATATTTTTTCGGTCCTCTCTTGGTATTGTATCTACTGGAATTTTCCATCGGAAAATCCATCACAAATGAACAAGCTAAAAGGTAAGAGATATATCGAATGGAAACACATCGTAGTATATAAACTTAACCGTTATCTGTGTAATTAAGGACTGGAAGTTTTAATGTTTTAGGTAAAAATATCATTTACAAATGAAGGGATGCACCAGCTTATATAAATTTAAGAATAATTAGGTGGAATGACAAAATTTTGGAGACAGATGAATAGATGACAATGATGTGATTTAAATACTTTTTGTATTATTTGTCTTCCGTAGACGTATAACTTATTAAATGAATGTCAGGATTTTATCTTAGGTTATTAGGATTCTACATGATAAAATTTAATTTACGAAGATTGTTTTTTTTAGAGTGAATTTACTAAATGGTAGTAAGTGAAATTAGATAGATGACAATGATGTGAGATATTGTTTTTAAATAGTATCAAAATAAAATAAAACTTCAATTTTGCCCGTCAATATTTAATTATTACGGGAATTGTATTAACATGTTATGTTTTATGTATCATATGGTGCTATATTATAAGTATATTGCATGGGAAGAAGACGGACAAAAACCGAATCACTATGTAGCGGCTACTTAGTGACATTTGTTTATTTATGAGATGATACAAATTGGCGGTATCAAACAAACTCAAAACGGTTATATATTCAGACCTTTTTGTTTCCTTTCTTTTTTTTTTGGTCGAATGTTTCCTTTCTAATAATAAAGAAATACAGAAATAATTAACAAAATAGACACTGAATATTAAAATATCGGATAAGTACCTCAAGATCTCACTTAGAATTTGTCTCATTTCTTAACTATAATTCATAGAGTCAGATCCAGAGTACTTGCCTTTCCAATCTTAACCGTCCAATCCTCTTCATCCGTCTTGATCACTCGGCTCTTTTTCCATGAAGACGAGCCCGAACATAAAGACAAGGACAACGTTTGATCCGTTGTAGTTGCTGCTGTTTTTGTCTCTTCCAAATTTGTCGTTTCGGGTACTCTTAGCTTAAGAGAGAGGTCAAGATCAAGATCGATGCTTGTACTTGCGTTTCTTTTAGCCGTTGTCTTGTTAAAATAAGTATGATTGGTGCTCTCTTCAATACCGATCGGGAACTTTTCAAACTTTCTTGAGTGTCCTTGAATGTGGTCATCGAATGTGACTGAATTGGTTCGCTCTTGATGATTGTGTCTTAGTCTCGGCACGTGATTAGAAATTGAAGAAGAGTAGATGTTTTGGAAAGACCTGTTGTTAGTCATGTATTCACTACCGTGGATGTTATTGCTAACCGATGAGCCGCGAATTAAACCGGGCTTATCTATCAAACTCCGGTTTGTTTCGTGAGAGCTAGAGTTCCGCAGTGAAGCATTTGAGAACATACTTCCATACCTACAAAAACAAAAATGGAATTAAAACTATTAATTTAGTATCAAGGTGAAGTTCAAATGGAATAATTAATGGAGCACATAAATCTAAACTTTACAAAAATAATATAAACCTGAATTGAGAATCATGGTTATGAGTATTGCCTCGAAACATCGGTAGCTGACTTAGTTTATAAATATTACGATCTGTGGAAGTCTCGATGAAATGTCTATGATCAGCTATCGCTGCAAACAATTAATGGACACCTTAGTTGATTAGAGTATAAAATTGACAACTAATTAACTAAAGTAGAAAGAATCATTACCTTGACCTTGATCATCAATTTTCTTGCTCCTATACATCTACAATGTTCCATTTCACAGTTTAATAAGATACTTTGATCTAATTTCGCAGATTCTGTGAAACAAAAACAGCATTACAACACATACGTACCTGTAGATGGCTCTTGACATGAGCAATACTAAGCCCTTTGATGTTCATCATCTGGCGGACCAACTTTGGAGTTGCTCCTATACACATCCAAACACAATGTTATTTTTTAAGAAGATACAAAAGGTTTTACACCAAAGTTTGACCAAACTTGTTTAAGCTTTATATGTGGAAGAGTTGATGAAGATAGTAGCTAAGGACGTACTTTCTTGACCACCAAGCCTCTCAACGGCGCGGACAAATCGAAGATGAAGATCAGGAGTCCACCGGAGTCGTGGAACTTTAGATCTCACATAAGGCCTAACCTTTGCCTTCTTATCGCTCTCTTCCACTGTACTATTGCTCGAAACCTTACTTTCTTCGCCTTCATCTTCTACTTCTTCTTCATCCTCTTCTTCTTCAGTCTTTCTCCCTCTCTCCATACATGGGATCATTTTTCCTTCTTACTTTTATGATTTAACAAGAAAAAAAGAATAAGAAAAGGGCCGGAGATATGGTAGCTCTAGGATTTAGATATAGGTTTTGGAGCAAGTGGATAGATCAATCCTATGGTTTGACATGAAAGAGATACAAGACAGATGAATTCCACTTAAGCATGGAGATTTTGTTGTGTCGATGAGAAGCCCTAGAGGCCTAGATCAAGATATACTTCAGATTCTCTCCCCTCTCTCTCTCTCTTTCTCTTTCTCTCTCCTCCCGGGGCATGTAGACAAACACTCACCTAAATCTTGTTGCAGATGTTAAAAAGGTTTCTTTTCTGTTCCCAGCTAATGCATTTTGGATTTTTTCTTCTATAGACAGCTCTACATATATATATATATATATGTATGCATGACATGTAAGTATTAATATTATATATGTATGCATGACATGTAAGTATTAAGCATGTAGAGGGAAAACTATTATTTTAAAAGAGATAATTTGATATATCTGCCTATAACATACAAAAAATTACAAGTAACACTTATTTTATATTATTGCATTACCAAGGCTTAAACCGAATAGTGTGATAGAAATTGGACTCTTTTGTTAATTATTGGGCAGTCTTAATTTGCGTTTGATTCGAATCAAACTAACCTTTTCGATTGCAATGATAGATATATTATATATATATAAATAAAATTCATATATCGGGACTAACACTCTATGAATGGCATTAGTATGATCAAGATTTTATTTTGAGTTTAGAAGCAAACAAAACATCAAGAATTTCAAAATTTAATACTTCCAGAAAAAATACTTTAATACTAAATCGAATTCACACAGATATAATATCCCTTAGAGTAGTTTTGTCGGAATTAGGATTTGAACTTTCAAAAACTTGAATGAAGACTTTTGTCAATTAATATCCAAGCTCATTGATGATCGAGATTATTGTCTTTTTCTTAAGATCTTCGATTTGATTTTTTTTTACTTAATTTTATTTCTTTCTCTGTTTTTTTTTCTTTTATTTGACTTTGCAACTTTATGTTCGATCCTCAACGTTTTGGAAGATTCAGTACGTGACATCAATAAATTTTATATAAAAATATTACTGTATATACAGACATGTACCTTTTAAAACATTACAAGAAATGTACTTTAACCCAAAAAAGTATATACAAGAAATGTATTTTGAAAACGTTTTAGTTTTTATTGAGTTGAAGTAATATAACGATCAACTGGCATTCCGTAGATTTTATGTTCCAATATGAGTTAATTTTTCTATCCAAAAAACATGAGTTAATTTGGAACAATATGTATAAACATCGCAATCATCAAAGATAAACTCTCTTGCAAGCTTATATCAAGATGCTATGTAAATAAATCAATAATTATCTTTGAAAAATTGGTATACTTTTCAGAAATTAGAAAGTAATATATTATGATAGTATGGGTTAATGACTTCATGTAGTTACACATTTCACAAAAAGGGGGTTTGATAAGAATAAGATGATGGGATTTAGGGTTTTGCATGGAATTTAATGCAAAAGGCAAAATAAATAAAAAATGGAAGAGGGAGAGTGGTAGATAGACGAATAAATTACGATTACAAGGCGTGTGACTGCTCAGCTGTCTCTGATGTAGACCCCATCACACAAACATTTCTTTTTCCTTTTATTTTTCCTGTAACGGGAATCACGGGGCATTGCTCCTCTCTTACAAAATATTATACATCTCTCATATGTATTGTGTAGGGCTTCGTATCAGAGAGTTAATTTTATGTTTAAAGGAAGAAAACTAATTAGTGGTCCTTGCTTGGTTTGAGATACACATCCGAGTATCCGACCCCGTGAAGCGATGAATAGCGTTGTTAGTTGAGCCGTTTTATTACATCATTCTTCTAAAAATCTGTTATAAAATTAACTTATTTATCGGAAGTCCGATTGCAATTACAAAAGAACATGCTGAAGATTGCAATTATTATAGAAACAATATACAATATTCATCGATAGATGCCGTCTTCTTTTTTATAAAAAGGTGGTAACTATATCGATGAATATTGTATATTGTTTCTATAATAAATTTCAATCAGAACACTTTTGGTGCATCCTAAAACATATCTTAGGTTTCCAAATGAGTATATGTTGTACTTGTACGTTAGAAAAAAACTTCTCGCGGAATGTAACCATTAGTAAAAGATTCATGAGATTAGTCTGAGCTTCCGATTAGTAAAAAAGAATCGAAAAAGTTACTCAATATTCTAATGTGTATATGTGATTTTTGCAAGCGAGAAAAAGTTGTTGAGGAGAGGGAAGGAAAGAATGGAGGAAACTGCATGTAAGCTTTGATGAAATTGAAAAGAAAAGAAGAACTTTGTCATTCTCCCCACGTGTAGATAGGCTTCCCAACGATCGATCCTTCACAAGCTTCTTGTCGCCACTCCCTTTCTTCTCTACATTTAATTTCATACGTCTCCATCTTCCCTCTGCTTCTACACGTACGTCTACGTATAAGTGTAGATATATATCCTTATATATTTGCTATTTACAGGCACATCTAGATTGCATTTATGAGAAATCTAGAGCTACAATGCATCGGCGTCAAAACCTTTTACAAAATGTAGTGTTGGAAATATAACTGAAAAATTCGGTTCAGCAATATATTCATTTATAGCTGAATCGATTCCATGTTATATTCATTTACAACTGAATCGATTGGGTTTGGTAGAACCAAATTTGTGGCAGGATTGGTTTATGTAAACGTCAAAGTTAAGGAAATTTCATTTATAAAAAAAAAAAATACGAAAAAAAAACTCGGCTGATATATCACAGCGATCTCAGAATTTTTGGTTTGAAAAGTCATACTCTTGCTACTAACATTTAATTAGTAACCTACTTACACTTATGCTATTAAAAGAACATAATTAATAGAATATTAATCTTAAGACTATAATACTTTATATATTAAACGAGTTACTTATAGATGTATATAGACTGAAAAAAAACTAATGAAAGAAATTGTCTGGGTAAGATGTCGATGAAGAAGCTGTTTCTTTTTAGTACTAGTAAAACTAAGTACTTTTTGTTATATATAGTGTTCTAAAGAGCAATATAGATGACTGCGTAGACAGAATTATATATATTGTGGCGATCACCATGCAAGTGTTGGAACATGTACTTTTGTTATTAAACGATCATGGACAGTTTTATAGTTTCATGCGGTTTTGGACGATCTTACGAAATCACTAATAGATTATCATATTAACTTATCAATTTTTTGTCTGTTTCAATGTAATTTTTTTTTCTATTTTTAATTACATAGAATTAAATTTTTTAAATTTTGTCGTCATAAATTTGAACTTAATGACTGTTTTTCTAATTCACATTTTGTTATATTTTTAATGTTTTAATTTTAATCGTCTAAGAGAAGATCATAAGATATACTGTAGTGCGCTGACAAGATTCTTATACACACGACCTGTGAACTGTGAAGTCAACCTCTAACAGTTAACTTTTATCCCTACAAATACGGATCCAACTGTGAAGTATGTCTGTCTCCTTGCACATTTTCAAACCCCTAATCAAATAAAATTACATAACCCGATCAAATTATACACGCATCCCAGTATACTTCAAATCTCACTTGCAGATTCTTTATCATATTTGCGTATAACTATACTTACTACAAGTTGATTAGAAAGTTTTATACAAAACATGTGAGTTTGCGGAATCTGAATTTAAAAAGGTAAAAATAATGAGTTTCGGACAGATCTTCTTTACATACATATATAATCGGATTACTATGTTTTGAATATGATTATTATATTATAGGTTTATAAGTTGGCCGCGACTATATATAATAACATAGCTAGCCAGTAGCCACACAAAAAGGAATAAAAAAAATCGAAGATTTTTCAAAGTTAATCAAAGTGTATCGAATGTTAAATTTATTAAAGAATGTATCTATTGGGTATCTGAAAAATTATTCTGATAGCTATCTCAGTCCTTATCAAACCGAAATCGATGATGTAGACAAAAAAATACATGTTTATCTGACGGATTTGATGAAATTTTCAAGTCTATATTCTCTTCTGAGTATGTTCTTTTATTATAATTCTTATCACATACGTTTATGATGTTTACATCTCACCGGTCTAATTACGTCTACTAAATATAGTTGTATTCTTATAATCCTTCCACTTATTATGTTTTGCGAAAAAATTAACAATATTTATTGCCAAGCTATGTATTGTGTACCATCACATGGGCAGAAAATATTTTTTTGTGTGTATGATCTATATATTGAAGCCTTTAGCCCAAAGTGTACGATATGGTGTGACCCAAATCAGAAACTAGACTTTATAAATTGCCAGTGCAGACTACAAAAATAGAAAGAGATGCTGGATCCATTGTCTAAATCCTTGGAAAGGAGTAATTTTACCATAAGGCTTCTGTTTACGATTTGGATTCGTTACCGGTTGAACACATATCCAGTTAGTCTACTAACTGTTAAAACCCATAGTTGCCATGATTTTTTTTTTTTTTTTTGAAACCCTACTCATTTGTGTCGTATGATATACTCATATTTGACTTAATTGTTATGCCAACCTTATAAAAACGGCATATGTCTTAGAGAACTAATTAGCTCATGAACAATTTGGACATTGTCCATGGCTTTCCTATCAAGACCAAATTAACCCAAGGATCTGAAATCACCAAATGGAGAGGATGAGCGTAAGCTACAATACCATTTGGATTTCAATTTTCACATTCGTTGAACTTCAGTAGTTTGTATTAGATTATGTACGTCAGAAATTTGTTGAGAATTTACGTAGGTTATTAAACTTGGTACCAAAATGTTTGAATAGTTTGGCTTTGTATTATATATATGCATCTTCTTTTTCATCTTTCTTGAGGTCGTGTGTATTCCATCTTTGTTTTTCTTTTAGTTTTCAGATTTTCATGTTTGAAATTTTAATCTTTATAATTATTATTATCTCCCCTTGGTTTTAATTAAATAAGTTAATCATTACAGTATATTCTCGTGCTTTTTTCTCATTAATCACACCGATTTATTATCACCTTTGGGATCTTTTCCATATCTTTCTACTTATTACATGTTTATTTCTTTATATTTACAAAGAACAATCAACATTCCCTCCATTGTTTTATGTCTCCTTCTCTCTGTATCGCCATGGTTTTACTTCAGCATGTAAGTCTCTTTGTTTCTTCCTCTCTAATCAATCAAAACAACTTTTTTTCACATGTGTTGTGTTTTAACGCAGTTAGAGCAATGGGGACGTCCAATTTCGCTGTGTTACAATCCAACAACGTATACAACAACAATGGGAAGAAATTTCTTCACAGGTGCAACCACAAGCAGCAAGCTATTCTCCAGTGGTTTTTCAGCCGCAAAGCCAAAATCGAAAATCGGATCTAAGGAAGTAGCTGCAAAGAAACATAGCGACGCAGAGAGAAGAAGACGGCTTCGAATTAACTGCCAATTTGCAACTCTTCGCACAGTTCTTCCAAACTTGGTCAAAGTAAGTTTTGTTCTTCTCTCATTTGATTACATTAACGCATATAAGATGTTTAGCAAGATAATTTACACTTTTTAAGTTTTAATGAAACCAAACAGCAGAATAAAGCATACGTGTTGGAAGAGATTGTTAAGTATTTCAATGAATTGAAAAAGGTGGTTAAGGACATACCAACCACACCAGCTTTAGAAGACAACTTGAGATTGAGTCATCACTGTAACAACAAAGACGTGGCGAGAGTCGTGTTTAGCTGTAGCGATAGAGAAGGGCTAATGTCGGAGGTTGCAGAGTCAATGAAAGCAGCAAAAGCAAAGGCGGTGAGAGCTGAGATCATGACAGTAGGTGGAAGAACAAAGTGTGCCTTGTTTGTTCAAGGTGTAAATGGCAATGAAGGATTGGTTAGGCTCAAGAAATCATTGAAACCTTTAGTTACTCGAAAACCAAAAACAATGGAAGATCGTTGTTGACTCAACAACAATGAGTATTTTGTGTACTTGTACATCTTTGTTTCTCTTCTTGTAGTCCATTAGACAAGATAGATGTAAAGGTTAGTCTCTCTAGCCTCTTCTATTTTCTTCTATGAAACTAGACAAACTTTAGTTAGTCTTGTGAATAATTTCCCTAAAGACGTCATGAATAGTCTAGTTTATGTCTCATGAGTTCTATCATTGCATATGGTCAAGTTGTGATTAAGTAGATGAAAATGATTTTGTTTTGTTTTGTTGGTTCTCTTTAGATTTTGGTTTTTTCTCTTTTAGAAATGGTTTGTCTTTTTGTTTCTAAAAATATCATAATCTTGTTAAGCTTTTGTAGAGTTGCTACTTGCTATATAAACAACATCTGCTTCGTTGGGTTTATTGAGGCCCAATCCATTTTTTTCTTTCTTAAAAGCTTTGTTGATTCTCTATTATTCATTTCGATATCGACATTCTGCACTGCACCCTGGTTTTATTTCCAGCTATAAACCAATCAGTATCACGCAAAAGGAAAAGGAAATAAAAGACAGACCCCAAATAAATAAATACAAAGATAAGGAAATAGAACAAACCAAAAATGACATAACACACACAATAACATTTGCATTATTAGAGAACCATGAATATGAAAAATTGAAAACAGAAAGAGAAAAACAAATAAACCAAAAGCTAAAAGAGAGAGAAAGCGCGAGAGAGAGAGGAGGAAGATCATTCCTCCAATTACCTCTCTCTACTTTTACGGGGAGAATTCATAAATTAGTGGGAATCAACGAGAGATGGATTGGAATTGATGAAAGTTACACTGCAAAAAACACGTTTCCCGATAATAAGTATCAGAATTCAGCGATCTGAGAGGGAAGCTAGAAGAAGAAGAAGAGAGATATTTTCTCGGTGGTTTCCGGTTAAGAGGTCCTGTGGATTTTGGTGTCATCTCTAATTGAATCAAAATCTCAGATTGTTACAAGGTGACAACGAAATTGTTCATCTTGTTAGATTGTATTAGCCGGAGACCCAATTCCGAAGATCATCCTCCAACTATTCCCGATTTCATAACTTTTTTTTTTTGAAATTTGGAAACTTTCTGTAAAAAGTTTTCGGATTTTGGGTTTTTGGATTGATTGAAGAGATGCAGCATAATCTGTTCACCACAATGCGAAGTTTGAAGCTAATCGAAGGATGTAAAGGCACGCAGGTGTACGCTCTCAACCCATCGGCTCCTCCTCCGCCACTACCTCCTCCGGGTAGCGGCGGCGGCGGCGGCGGCGGCGGCGGTGGAGGAGTCGGAGAAAAGTTACTACAGCATCTCCAGGATCATCTTCGAGTTAACTCGATCCGATCCAAATCAAGCCGGACATATCCACCGCCGAATCAAACAAACGCCGTCGTTTTGCCGGACTCTCTCCTCCCTTACGGACTCCCCGTCACGGATTTGCTCGAACCGCAGATTGATTCTTCCCTAAAGTTCGTCGATTTGATCGACAAGCTCGCCGAAGTCTACCGTCGGATCGAGAATTGCCCGCAATTCGAGAAATCTGAGGCTTATTTAGAACAATGCGCAATATTCCGAGGCTTATCCGATCCGAAACTTTTCCGGCGTAGTCTCCGATCAGCTAGGCAACACGCCGTCGACGTTCACACGAAAGTCGTCTTAGCCTCTTGGCTCCGATATGAGAGGAGAGAAGATGAGCTGATTGGGACTAGCTCCATGGATTGCTGCGGGAGAAATCTTGAATGCCCAAAAGCGACTCTAGTTTCCGGGTACGACCCGGAATCCGTTTACGATTCCTGCGTCTGTTCCGGAGCCGCCGCGAGATCAGAAATCAAGTATGGTGATGATGATGTACCAGAGTGTTCGACGTCGGAGGAAGATTACGACATGTCCTTCTGTATCGGCGATGATGAAGTTCGTTGCGTGAGGTACAAGATCGCGTCTTTGTCTAGACCCTTCAAGGCAATGTTATACGGCGGTTTCAGAGAGATGAAACGGAGCACGATCAACTTTACGCAGAACGGAATCTCCGTGGAAGGGATGAGAGCTGCAGAGATTTTTAGTAGGATTCAAAGGGTCGAGATGTTTCCTCCTAATGTCGTCTTGGAGCTACTCACGTTGGCGAATCGGTTCTGCTGCGACGAATTGAAATCAGCTTGCGATTCGCATTTGGCTCGTCTTGTTAGTAATCTTGATGATGCAGTGTTATTGATCGAGTATGGATTGGAAGAGTCTGCATACCTTCTTGTGGCTGCTTGTCTTCAGGTTGTTCTTAGAGAATTGCCGAGCTCTATGCATAATCCGAACGTGGTGAAGATTTTCTGCAGCGTTGAGGGAAGGGAAAGACTGGCCTTGGTTGGGCATGCTTCTTTCACATTGTACCTCTTCTTAAGCCAGATTGCTATGGAAGATGATATGAAATCAAACACAACTGTAATGGTGTTAGAATGTTTGGTTGAATGTGCGGTTGAGACTTGGCAGAAACAGCTCGCCTGTCACCAATTAGGAGTTGTGATGCTTGAGAGGAAAGAATATAAAGATGCTCAGAGATGGTTTGACTCAGCGGTCGAGGCAGGTCATATTTACTCCCTTGTTGGTGTAGCCAGGTCTAAGTTTAAGCGTGGCCACCGATACTCGGCTTATAAAATCATGAACTCGTTGATTTCGGAATCCTCAGCTACTGGTTGGATGCACCAGGAGAGGTCCCTGTATTGCAGCGGTAAAGAGAAGCTGCTCGATATGGACATTGCCACCGATTTGGACCCAACTTTGACTTTCCCTTACAAATTCAGGGCAGTGTCATTGGTCGAGGAGAATCAGTTTGGGGCTGCGGTCGCGGAACTGAACAAGATTATGGGGTTTAAGGTCTCTCCTGACTGCTTAGAGATGCGTGCGTGGATCTCTATAGTTATGGAGGACTATGAAGGTGCTTTGAAAGATATTCGAGCGCTTTTGACATTGGAGCCAAATTTCTTGATGTTTAACAGGAAGATCCATGGCGATCATATGGTGGAACTCCTTCGTCCGCTAGTCCAGCAATGGAACCAGGCTGATTGTTGGATGCAGCTTTATGATCGTTGGTCTTCTGTTGATGATATCGGATCTTTGGCTGTTGTTCATCATATGTTGGCAAATGATCCAGGGAAGAGCCTTTTGCGTTTCAGACAGTCTCTTCTTCTCCTAAGGTATTACCATAGGTTCGAAGCTTCTCTGAAATATTGCGTATGTTGTTACCATTCTCTAATCAGAGTATTGATGTTGTGTTGTTTTTATCTGATTGTTTGATATTTTTCAGGCTAAATTGTCAAAAGGCTGCGATGCGTAGCCTTAGGCTGGCTCGAAACCATTCAAAGTCGGAGCATGAGAGACTCGTGTATGAAGGATGGATATTGTATGACACAGGACACCGTGAGGAAGCCCTGGCCAAGGCCGAGGAATCCATATCCATACAAAGATCTTTTGAAGCATATTTCCTCAAAGCTTATGCTCTTGCAGACTCGACGCTCGACCCTGAGTCATCAAAGTATGTGATCCAGCTCCTTGAAGAAGCACTTCGGTGTCCATCAGATGGTCTTCGTAAGGGACAAGTAAGTGGAGAAACACTTTTTCCATTACATCAAAATTCTATTTTTCATCATCCTCGGTGCAATATCATGGATAGTTTGCTTTATTTGCAGGCTTTAAACAACCTTGGAAGTGTATATGTTGACTGTGATAAGCTGGATCTTGCAGCAGATTGTTACACGAACGCGCTAAACATCAAGCACACACGAGCTCACCAAGGTCTAGCTCGTGTATACCATCTGAAAAACCAAAGGAAAGCTGCGTATGATGAGATGACAAAGTTGATAGAGAAAGCTCAGAACAATGCATCGGCCTTTGAGAAGCGCTCAGAATATTGTGACCGAGAGATGGCGCAGAGCGACCTAAGCATGGCGACACAGTTAGATCCTCTGAGAACTTACCCATACCGATACAGAGCCGCAGGTGCGCTAAGCTTCACAGTTTTCTTATCCCTGTTTTCTTTAAAACTGAATGCCAAGCACAATAGAGCTAATATTATGGAACTTTCTAATGACTTTTTTATCTTCTTGAAATCGTGTTTACAGTTCTTATGGATGACCATAAAGAAACCGAAGCCATTGAAGAGCTATCAAAAGCCATAGCCTTTAAACCTGACCTCCAACTGTTACATCTACGAGCAGCATTCTTCGATTCAATGCGAGAACCTGCAGACGCTATCAGAGACTGTGAAGCAGCACTGAGTCTTGATCCAAACCACACAGATACCATCGACCTCTATCGCAAAGCAAGTGAACCACAATCATAGGCAGATCCATTTGCAATCTTTTCTTCCTTCTTACACTTCGGCGAGAGCATCTTTCCTCTGAAACCACAGATACTGGTATGCTTCTATGCCGTTTCTCATCCTTTCTGGAACATTTCAGTGGAAAACTAAGCTTGGTTCCTTTGTGATCAAGAAGTTTTGATAGAAGGAACTGGGGACAAACCAAAGGAGCTGCAACATAGAATGTAAATATAAATTTTATACATCGGGGTTTTGGGTTTTATGTGATCTATTCTGGTTTGATGAGGGTAATATGTAAGTAGAGCAGAGTGTTTTCTGGACACAAAAGGAACACGGAGAAAGATTACCTCTGGTAAAACTGGACTTCTTGTTCTGTCCTGTTTTTTCAGATGTTTCACTTTGTGTTTCTTCTTTTCTTCTCTCTTTATTTATTTTGTGTAATTTTTGTTTTTCTCATGTTTGTTGTATTGATTCTCAGACACCTGAAATTTTTTCCACCCTTTCAAAACAGGAACCATAAAAGTGAGTTGATCAAACTTTATGTTTGCAGATGTAATTGATCATCACTATAGAAAGATCGTCATACAGAAACATCCATATAAAAACCTTTCAAATTGAGCACACAAATTAAACACTAAACTATTTTACCAAAAATCAAATAAAATTAAAAACTAAAATTAGCCATAGAAACACTGAAACACTGTAAGTACAGTACAATCTCTATAAATTAATAATGTCGGGACCATGATATTTTATTAATTTATTGTGATATTAATTTATAGAGAAAATTTGTTTAATATTTATAATTTTCTAAAAAATTTCTTTAGAATAATGTTATATTTTAAAATTTTAACTAATTTCGTAACGTAAATTATGTTTAACAATCATAACTATCGCAATAAAATAGTTTTTAATACCATATTGGATTATCCATGTGAAAATATACATGTTCATAAGTTTAAAATTTATAAAAAAGACTATGACTATTATCCGTATTATTCATGATAAAATTGAAGATAACACTAAAATATATTTAAAAACATTTACAAATAAGAAAATCAATTATCACATTAAAAATTATCATAAATTTTGAATGTATATCGTAAAACATCAATAAAAACTACAGATATAATAATTAAATAAATAAGATCCAATGAGATTTCAACCTGCAAACACATTAGTCATATTTTAGAATACTATATTTACATATATTTGTATAAATGTATATAATTATTAATTTATGTTTTTGTTGGGATCATATATTTACATATGGATTTCAAAAAAAATTATTATCTTATCGAATTTGATGAATTTTTACAATAGTCCGACTTGGAACCAGTATAATTTATTAATTTATAGTGATTATTAATTTATCGAATATTTACGGTAATTTTTTCTTTTTGTGTTTTGAAAATTGAAACTAGAATTCAAAATTTTGGTAAATTAGAAATTTGAGCTTTGTTAATTGATTTCTCGACTAGTAAGAGCAATAGATTATGTAAAGTGGTTTTTCTCATTTTGTTTTTAAATTACTCTCATTCAAATTTCATTAGGTGGTGTTTTGAAGACCTTAAATATTTTATTCATAAGATGAAGATATATAGTTTAGTCAACTTTTATTTCTTTTGCAAATTTGATATATTATAGTACATAGATAAAGTCATCAATCATCAAACACCACAGTTTCCACCTGGTCCTCCAAAGGAGAATGATACACCATTCGACTTTTGGTAACCCCAATATGATAATCTATAACACTGGTACGAATCTGCATAACGTCTTATTCTCCTATCTTCAATATCAACTAATTGATAGTTCGAATTCTTCACTTTAACATACAGATAATATGAACTTTTTTGATAGTCCAGAACTGGAAAACGCTCATTTCCCATTGGAGGGCTGATTCCATCCGGAGATGCAAATGTGTTTCCTCCAAAACGTATCAGAGAGGCTCCTTTGTTTAAATGTGTGAATAATTCTTTGGGCCAATAACCAATTACTTCATTAAATATTTTTAATGCCCAATTTCCACTGAAACCATCCTAATAAATATTAAAACACAAAAAGAAATCATTTAGAAAAATATCTAAAATTATAATCATATATGTGATTTTAATAAGAAAACCTAATTGAAATTACAACAACCAAATAAATATAAAAAGCAGGATTCGAGTGTTTCGGAAGCAAAAAAAAACACACAAAACAAAAATTTTAACATTCTTATCAAATAAACTATTTATCGTAGATCTAAAAAATAAATATGATTTATCATAAAGAAGATAACAAAAATTACCTGAAAAACTTGTGGTGTGAAAGAAATTGATTTTTTATCACCATAAACGGAGGTTCTAGGAAACGCTATTCCAATCCAAGGAATTCGAGATACAATGACAAAGCCAGAACATTTGATATTATAGCAACCCGTATTTTTGTAGCCATCTGCCTGATAATTTAATAAGACATAGAAGGCAAAATATTATGCAGTGATAAAAGGAGTAAAGACAACAAACCAATGGTTCAGCTTTATTTTTATAATAATCACGATTTGTTTATTGGTTTGCCATGTATGAAGAAATATAATTAAAAAAATAATTAATATTTAAGAATTATAATTAAGAAAATAATTTATTACTCACGGTCCAATATATTGTAAACCGCGTGAAAGTGTCACCATACAATCTTGGATGTACCTACATATAAAATTATAAAATACATGATGAAACATGAGTAGATTTGAAAACATGAGTTACTAATATTCTTTGTTCAACCAAAAAAAAGTATGAAACTCTCGTATTTATTCTACAGTTTCAAATGAAATTTTCATTAAATATATATCTGTAAATATAATTTTTATCTTTATCTATATGTATGCAAAATTTGTTTATGCAAAATTTGTTTTATAAGTTTGGTGATAACTTACAGCCCAACCAACTTGGATGCTATTGAGTTGATTACGAGGTCCATTTTCTAACCAAATTTGACTTTTACTGTACTGGTTATCTCGTACTGTTACGTTATGAAGACTTATCAAAGCTTCTGCTCCTCGATAGATGTTCCCATCTAAAACAGTTTCGATTGTTGCAAACTGTACATCGCATGAATATAAAAATCGACTTGTTTAATAAATTAACTAATACATTGCATGAGTTATAATCACAACATTAGTATAAGGCAACTACATGACTGTAGTATAATATTTTTTTAATACTACAATTTTTTTAAATTTTTTTATATAAGATGATCTAGATATTTCAATAAAAAAAAGTAAAAAAAAGAAAAGATTTACATGTTGGCCTGGATAATCGACTGAATCAAGATGAACACTTTCAGTTCCATTTCTTTGTCTTAAAATTGGCACTGTTCTTTTTGGACAAATTTGATAATTTGTTCCATAAAAATTTTTTTTATCAATATTTTCATCTGAATCAAAGGTTTCCTGTAACAAAACACATAAATAAAAAAATTAAGAATTATTTTGACCAAATTATGCTCAACTAAAGTTTCTTATATATATATATATATATATATATATATATATTTGATTGAATCAAGGTCACCACCATACCTGAATCTTGTGATGTTTCAACAACGGATGTTGGAAAGCTGGTTGTTTGTATATATCAACACAATCAAAATCCTGTAAATTTGATAATAAAATGAATTCTACTTAAAAATTGAAAATATCAAATCTTAAGGAAAAACAAATAGAAGTTATAGAATATCACATCAATGTTTCCATAGATCACTTGTGCGAATAGCAGATAAAAAGATAGAAAGAGCACTAGATGTAAAACCATTATTAAATTTTAGTTATATTTCTCCATTGATATCGATCGTCATATATAACTAATTAGAGTCAACAACTAATCAATTTATTCTTAGTCATATTACTTCACCTCTTATGAATTTACCTAAAGTATCAATTACAAAATTTTAACTGTGTTGACTAAGAACATAACATATAACTTTTATAAAGGTTGACTAAAACATGACAAATAAAATTCAGATTGCCAAAAAAAAAGAAAATTCAAATTCAATTATATAAGTTACTATAAATTACTATATCTTTAAAGAAACTCGAGATTATTAATTTAGTCGACTAAGAACATAGCATAGACCAAAACATAACAATTAAATTAATTGCAATTATATTAGTTACTATAATATACCAGTGTTCAAAAAATCGGCCTAGTCGGCGACTAGGCGGCCGCCTAGGCGGCTAGTCGGGGTTAGCCGACCCGATTTTTACAAAATCAATGAAGCAAATCCGGTTTAGTAAAAAATCGGACCAAGTCGGAGAAAATCGGAAAAATCAGACCAAATCGGTAAAATCAGCCAAATCATACTAATTATTTTTATCATTTTTTCAGTCAAATTTTACGGTTTTGGATAGTAAACCAATATCGGTTTACAGAAAAGAGAGAAAAAAACAAGATTTGAAACGTGGATTAGGGTTAATAACTTAATATAATCATCCTCGTTCCTCCCAGCTACTTCACTTTCATAAACTACAAAAGGCGATCATTATTCTCTATTGCTGAACTCTACAAGTTTGTTTAATCTTCTCTTTATCTATCTGTACATATTATATAACTATCTTGTATTCTTTTAATTTGTCTTTTCATCTTTGTTTACTTTGTTTGTGCTCTGTTTTAAGTTTCAACTTTCAATTTTAACGATGAGCCTAGAGGAGATATTGATTCCGACGATGAAAATGATATAGCTATTTGAATAATAAGTTAGATATATTTCTCTTTGTTTTATATTTTTAAAGTTTTTAGATTAAAACTTATTTTAGTTTGAAGAATTTGATGATTTTTAGTTTGATTTCTTTGTTGAATTTTATTCTATAATTTTATTTATTAAATTTTCTTATTTTTTTATTCAAACATAAATTTTGATAAAATATTTTTTAAGAAAATAATTAAAGCTTTTTTAAAAATATGATATATAGATAGAAAATTTATAAAAATTAACAAAAAATTTTCTAACGCCTAGGTTCTGCCTAGTCTCCGACTAATCCGCTTAGGCGCTAGTTTCTTATCACCCGCCTAGCCACCGCCTAGCGATTTTTTGAACATTGTAATATACTATCTTTTTGGGTTTCGGCTGGGTTCTTTGTTAAGGGTTGATTTATTCTTACCGAGCCCTTGTAGAGTTTTTAGTTGGGCTATTTATTATTTGTGGGCTTTTATCTTTTATTTCTTCTGTTTTTGTAAATTGTAAAACTCGAAATCCAGAAATATCAATATGACCCTTTAACAAAAAAAAAAAAAATACTATCTTCTTTTGAGAAAATGCTCATTTAATTCTTCAAATATTTGAGATGAGTTGATTTATTCCTCAACTATCATATGCACTAGACCTAGACATTCGAATACTCGATTTAATTTCATTTCAAAACCAATCAGTTCCGGATATTTCAGATAAAGAAGGTTAAAATCCATCAAGTATTTTTTTAGATTCGGTATTTTTATTTCTGTTTGGTTCCAGTTCGGATATTCAGATCTGAATTTTTTATCCAAGCCTAGTCATCACGTAAGTTTTAATTTTTAAATTTCTTAATTATGAGAACCGATAAATACCTAAAAAATATATCTCAAAGCCCAAATATATCTGAAAATCCCAAAAAAGTAATAAAAAATATCCATAAAACCAAAATATACACAAAATATCCTATATATCAAAAAAAAAAATTAATATTTAAAGATATATAATTATTCTTTGGATAATTCAGGTATCTGATCGGTTTTCGGTTTGATTCTAGTTTGATTTCAGTTTTTATATCTAGTTTAGAACTCATCCGTATTTTTTATAGATTTTGGTTCGGATTCATCATCTCTCTTTCGGTTTGGTTTGGATATTCAGATCCGAATTTTTTCTCAAAGCCAGAAGATCTCTGCACAAATAAAAACCATCAATTGTGGGAACTGACTTTGCAAAATAAGGATCTAAAATGTCAACGTTGCACACTAAACGCCAATCGTTAAATTTAGTTTATCAAAATCCTTTCATCACTTTTTTTCCCTCAATTTTGACCCCCAAAAATATATATCATCTTCTTTTCTCATTTTTTCCATGTTTTTCCCAAATTAAAATCTCTTAATTTCCAATCGATTCTTTTATCTAGTGCCGAATACACCTTGTAGACCTGGTCTGGGCTGCAGTCATCTTCTATGGAATATAGTTATGCAAATGGGGTTGTTTGTCAAAAAAGTTGCAATACCTAGGATTGAAATTGGCGATACAGATTGAATTTATTCAAATCATCGTTAACTTATTCTCTCTCTCATCTCGTTTATCTATCTCTTACGCTCTCACTCTGTATAATTGTTCATATGGAGATTTTCTGTAAAAAAATTAATGTCATTTGTTCGCGTTCCCATTCTTTAGCGTACGCAAAAACTTAAGTTGATTCACTAGAATTTGATCGTTTGAGAGAAATTAAAACGAACTGTAAATCCTCTGAATCACTTGATTTGAAAAATTGAATCGAGAATACAATCTGAATTGATAAAGAAAACGTGTGAAGGAGCATAACATATCACTGATTCGAACCCAGAGCACGGTATTAATTCGTGGTGAAATTGATGATTTATTGAGATACGGTATTAAGACACGGTATTGATTACATGAGTAAGGAAACTAAGATACAGTATAGTAAGTGAGAGTAATCAAAGGGAGTCATTCATGATAATCAAAGAGAGAGTGATTCACGAGAATCCAATCCTCATATTCATGGTCCTCGTCCTCCTTATGAAGCTGACTGCAACTCATGATTTACAGATTAAGGGATTTCAGTTTGGGGTTAATTTGAAGAAAATAGGTTGATATATTTTATTTGGGTCAAAACGCGAAGAAATAAAATCATTATAATTTTTCTGTTATAAACCTAGTATATGAGAAATAAATAAATAAAACACCGCTTTTACAACACTTTCATGGTATAGATCCATTTGATGAATTGGAATTTACGTACAAAATAAATTGACAGTAAGATAGTCTTGTAGAGCAACAAACCAACTCATGAAGAAGCCCTTTGACGCAAAAAAACAGAACTGGACGGTTCAAATGAATCCGTTTATTTAAAATCACATAGAACCATTTAGTCTGTAAACACTTAAACTAAACTAAAATTCTTCTACAAATTGGACAAGAATTATGACGCCATTGACTAAGACAATGCGAGTGAAATGCATGTCCACATGGCGTATTTGCCAACGGAACATTCCACTCGAATTGACCAAAGCATATTGGACACCCATCCTCCCTTGCCCCATGTATAAAAACAAAGTTTTCTAAGACCATTAATATCGCTAAGACGGGCCACGTCTCTTAGCCCAAAAAAATTAATAAAATAAGTAAAGTTGGGCCAAAAGTTGGAGAGACGTTTCTATTTTGGGGACAAATAGAAGACGTTTCTCTTGTACACGTGGGCGATTGTGACTGGTTGTGAAAAATTGGGGAGAAATTTTTTTTTGCTCTGCCCTAATTGTTTTTCCGTCGACTATTTTTTCTGAAAACACGGTTTTCTCTCCGTGGAAAGGCGATTTGGGCGATATCGACGTTTCAATTCCTCCGGCGGGTTCTCTCCGACAGCAGCTGTATCTCCGGCGGTTTCTGGCATCTCACCGACGATCTATCCAGGTAATCGGTGTTAACCTAATCCCAAACTATACCCTCGATCTCCGGTGGTTTTGATTTGTAAATCGATTGAAAGTGATTATAGGTTTCGAAAAATATGGGGTTCAGGGTATGAAACAATTTTTGCGAGTTACTTTGTTCCATTGTTTTCTAATCGAACCTGGTCTGTTTTTGTTTGCGAGATACTTTGGTCTGGTGTTGAGTTTAGCCGGCGACGAATGTGATCGAGAGCTAAAGAAGCAGAGAGAATTAAGTCAAACGTTAAGATCATGTCTTCTGGTTTTCGTTTTCACGCTATGGATGCTGATCTTTCACATCATGTAAGTGCCACCAACTGAATTGTCTTTGATTTGTTTTAGTTGTCTTGTCTTTTTGTTGAGCTAACTCAGTTTTCTCTTGTGCAGCCGAATAATTGCCAAGTTTCATCAAGTAACTAGAGTTTCTTGATCACTTTCAAACTTCATAAGGTTATAGTGGCTTTAAGTTGACTCTCGTTTGCTGTTTACATCATGAAGGAAACAATTAGAGACAAATGGAGATGATTGCTTCACAAGACTAGATAAGTTTCTTCAGTTCATTCTCTTCCTTAAGTTATACAGGTTTAATTTTTGGCATCCTCTAAGTCTTAATGTCGTTGTATGCAGGTTTTTTGGGGTTTACAAGTTACAAGCGAGACTTGTATAAATGCATCAAAGCGAGAGTCATGATGAGGTAAGTTGAAAGTGTCCTTGAAGTTTAAAGTATAGGTATCACTACGTAATAAATGTGTATTACTGTATAGATAATGGTGATAAATTGGATAGTTAGATAGGTATGAATGCTTTGTTAGGTTAAGGTCTTGTCAACTTAAAGCCAACTGAATTGTCTTTGATTTGTTTTAGTTGTCTTGTCTTTTTGTTGAGCTAACTCAGTTTTCTCTTGTGCAGCCGAAATAATTGCCAAGTTTCATCAAGTAACTAGAGTATGAATGCTTTGTTAGGTTAAGGTCTTGTCATGGTTAGATAGGTGATCAATGCAGTTCTCCTTACGGTCATGTCTTCCTTTGTTATTGTATTAAAATTCTTGGTGGTTAGGTAGTTGTTAACTCATTAATCTCTAGTATCTCCTGCTTTGATGAAGTAATAAAAGTCGATGACTGAAAGAAATAAAAGCAGATGTAGCTTCTTCCATTCATTCTTCTCTGTTTTTCGAAGTTCATTCATTCCTCTCTTTCCTCTCCTTGTTTTTTCACTCTTTATTCAATCTCCTCATCCTTTGATATGTCTTCGCCATATCAGTCCTCTCACCCCACCAATTTTGTTGACTTATTGAACAGTCAACAAGAACCATCACTCGCCGAACCCTTTCCATACCTCGACCAAGTCCCTCTTTTCAGTACTCAGGGCTCACAGCCTTCTAACCTCAACGAAATGCCTACAGAGCGACGTGAAAGAAAACAATGGAGCCCAGCAGAGGACATCTTGCTCATTTCGGCTTGGCTAAACACAAGCAAGGACTCTGTGGTTGGCAACGAGCAAAGGTTAGGAGCTTTTTGGCAGAGAGTCTCGTTGTACTATGCAGAAAACCTGCATACGGCTGGAAGTGAAGCACGCGAAGCAGGGCAGTGTAAGCAGCGTTGGCATAAGATAAATGACCTCGTAAGCAAATTTTGTGGAGCTTATGAGGCAGCATCAAGAGAGAAAGCTAGTGGGATAAATGAAAACGACGTCCTAAAGATGGCTCACCAAATTTTTTTCAGTGATCATAAGAAAAAATTCACTCTAGAGCATGCTTGGAAGGAGTTGCGGAATGACCAAAAATGGTCTGAGCTTACCTCATCAAAAGCCGATGAAACCATTAAAAAGAGAAGGGCTGAGGAGGGATTACCTAAACCAAGTGCAAGACCAGAGGAAGTCAACAATGGCGAGGGTGGTCAGACAACCAGCCGACCAGGTGGTGTGAAGGCTGCAAAAGCCAACGACAAAAAAAATAAGGAAAAGGAGTTAGGCCTGTCCCAGTTTCAAAGCATGTGGACAATCAAGAAAGAGGACAATGCAGTGCAAGAGAGACTATCAATGCATCGGCTTCTAGAGAATCTCATTGCAAAAGGAGATACCTTAACTGAGGTTGAAGCAGCTCTCAAGCAGAAGCTGATAACAGATATCTTATCTACTTAGTTGTTTTAGTGTCTTAAGTGTAATGTTTTATGTTTGAAGAAGCTCTTAAGTAATGTTTTATGTTTTCTGTCAGTTTCGGCTATGACTACTTTAAGCACTCTTTTGTTATAGAACATGTGCTATGTAAGTTGTTTTTCTAATGATCGGCTACTAATGTTATCTTCTTTACTCGCTTGTTTTTCTAGCCATTGTTCATCATTAATGGTTATTTGTTTTGCTAATGATCAGCTTCTTTGTCTTGTAATTTGACATGTCTGCGGGTGTTTTTCTTTTGCAGGATTCGAACTATATTCACGTCGGCACAAGGAGACAATGTATGTATCTGGCCAGTTGTGTTTGTGTTTACAACTTTACATGTCACGGATATGGACTGGTCTTGTATGTTTGTGTTTAGAATTGTATGTTTACAACTTTACATGTCACGGGTATGTACTTGTTTTGTATGTTTCTGTTTAGAATTGTATGTTTACAACTTTACATGTCACGGGTATGTAATTGTTTTGTATATTTGTGTTTTCAATTATATATGTCACGGGTTGTGCTTCTTCAGCTATATAATCCCTATCTCCTTCTCAGTTTTTTCTCCTCACAAACAACATAATCATTATCCCTATTTCCTTATCGTTTTTTCTCTTCACAAACACCATTATCATAATCTCCCCTTCTCCTTCTCATGGCTTCTTCATCTAACAATCCGGTGGATGGATCATTCAATGAATCTTTTCAACAACATTTTAATAATGCTTTCAATCAAACTTTTCAAAATTTTTTCAATGATGCTGGAGATATGCAAGAGGCCACAAAATCAAGAAAGAAACGAGCTTACATCGAAAGAGATCGCGAAGATGGTCACAATCGTTTATGGAACGATTATTTCAGTGAAGCTCCCACTTATCCTGGTAATGTATTCCGACGACGTTTTAGGATGAACAAGTATTTGTTCTTGCATATTGTAGAAAGACTTTCCAATGAAGCTCCATATTTTAGACAAAAGAAAGATGCTCTCGGAAGGCTTGGTCTCTCTGCCCTTCAAAAATGTACAGCAGCCATTCGTCTCTTGGCTTATGGCACTGCAGCGGATACGGTTGACGAATACCTTCGACTTGGTGAAACCACATCTCGTAAATGTTTGGAACATTTCGTTGAAGCCATAATTAATTTGTTTGGTGAGGAGTACTTGCGAAGACCAACACCGGAAGACTTGGAACGCTTACTTTATTATGGAGAGCAACGCGGATTTCCCGGAATGATAGGAAGCATCGACTGTATGCATTGGGAGTGGAAGAATTGTCCTACCGCTTGGAGAGGACAATTTTCACGTGGTTCTGGAAAACCAACTATTGTTTTAGAGGCGGTAGCTTCGTACAATCTCTGGATATGGCACGCGTTTTTTGGAGCTCCAGGTACCCTAAACGATATCAATGTCCTAGATCGTTCCCCGGTTTTTGATGACATTATTCAAGGTAAAGCACCAGCTGTGAACTATAATGTCAATGGAAGACACTATAATTTGGCATACTATTTGACAGATGGTATTTACCCAAAATGGGCAGCTTTCATTCAATCAATCAAACTTCCACAAGGGCCAAAGGCACGTTTATTTGCGGAGCGTCAAGAAGGTGCCCGAAAAGATGTAGAGCGAGCGTTTGGAGTCTTGCAATCTCGCTTTGCCATTATCAAAAATCCGACACTTTTTGGGGATAAAGAGAAAATAGGAAAGATAATGAGAGCGTGTGTCATCCTCCACAATATGATTGTACAAGACGAAAGAAATGGATACAATCTAATTGATACTATTGCGGAATTTCAACCAGGAGAAGGAACCGGAAGTTCAACTGTGGATCTCTCGTATTCCACAACCATGGCTTCAAATATTGTTGATACGCTGAATGCTCGGCAAAGAGTTCGTGATAACAAAACCCATATGCAATTGAAATCAGATTTGGTCGAACATCTATGGTAAAGATTTGGACATTTTTATGTTAACAACTAAGCATTTAAAGAAAATTTTATGTTTTATTTGTATTAATGTATTGTTATATGTTTTATTTGTATTAATGCATTATATTAAATATGTTTAAATGAAATAATTATGTTTATAAAATAAATTATTTTAATTTTTTTTTAAAAAGAAACTCAGTCATGTTTCCACCAATATTCAACGTAAAACATACAATTTCTTTAGAGTTTCTCCAAACACAAAAAAATAATTTTAAATGGCTAAAGAGACCCATATTGGTCTCTGCGATATTAATGCTCTAAAAGTACATGAGCTAACTGTACTTGTTGATTCTCGTTTTCAGAATTCTCAGAATCTGAGTTCAAAACGACATCTGTAGATGCGTTATCATCATCAGACTCATTATCCGCAGTTGGATTCCCGCCTAATTCAACAGACTCATTATCCGGAATTGGATTCCCGCCTAATTCAAGCCCAACCTCTTCTCTAGTTTGATTACTTAAGGAACGTCTTAATATTCTAAATAGGTAAAAACAAACGACAGCTATACCTAAGCCTAGAGCTACAATAAGAAACACATATCCTACAACCAGTAACGTCTCGTTTCCGTGTGAAGTATCATTACCATACCTAGACATTATTATGAGACTAAGAAGAAAAAGAAGTAGAAGAAGAAGACGAAGAAGAAGAAGACGAAGAAGAAGAAGAAGAATAAGACGAAGAAGAAGATTCGAAGAAGAAGATTCGAAGAAGAAGAAGATTTCGAAGAAGAAGAAGATTTCGAAGAAGAAGAAGAAGTAACAGAAGAAAGAGAAGAAAGAGAAGGATATAGACATTTCCCGTTGGAGAAAATTTCAAGAAACGGGCTAGTTTGTATTTCTGAAACAACTTCTAACTTAGGTACAAGAAACATAAAAAAGAAAAAACCAAATTATCAATACGCGGATAACATTAGTTAGAATGTAATGAGTAGGTCATTAAATAATTTGTGATTTTATTAATATTTATCAAGTAATAAACCAAAAAAAAAATACCTGGATCTTTTAGATCTTACACCGATTGAGAGTACACAATTGAGAATCATACCTACCGATTGAGAGTACACCGTGAGTGGCAGCCGATTTTTGATGGCAATGTGAAGAAGACTACTTCTGAGTTCTTATTAGAGGGTTTCTTGTTATTATCATCTTTTTGGGCTAATCGCGTGGGCTTGTCATCACTCCTTCTTGGGCTAGGTCAATATGCAACAAATTGGGCAAATTATCAAATACTGGGCTTATTTCCTTGGGTTACTTACAACAACATTTTACTTCTTGGTTAAATTGGGCTTTTTATGTTTTGATATGTGTAGTAAGCTTATTATAACTATGTTTGAGCACTTGTTTCATTTAAAAATTAAAATTAATGCATTGAATTGTCAAAAAAAAAAAAAACTAATTTACATTTTTGAAACCAATTTTAAAAGTAAAGGTTGAGAAGTCACCTGGAAATGGAAGCAGCTTATAGAATGATGACGTTTCGATGATTGAACCAGTCAACTACGGTTCAAACCCCTGACGTGGTCCTGAAACGAATCAGAAGTTTCGTAGTCAGAAACAGACAGTCGCAAGTGGAACCATGCAGTATTTAGATTTCTCTGACGGGCTCATTTTGCGATCTGGTTGACTTGGGATGAAAGACGAACAAAGGTTTCGTGAAGTGTGTGGCGATAGGCATGATTTTGGACCATAACCAAATTGTAACCGTGTATAAAACCGTAATTGTGAACCGTAAAAATTATTGTTAAAACCGGTAATCAATCGTAACCATATCAAAACCGTTGGTTAACCATAAAGATACGTAATCACTGTTTTGTTGGGTAAGCGAATTAAGGAATCGAACCCTGAACCTCAACAATTTAACCGAACTCAGAAACCAGTAGACCAGATGTGTATATTGTTGAACTATCGGTCATTAAATTATTTAACTAATTTCACACCCATTACTAAAAATCAATTTAGATAAAGGAGCCTTTCTTGGTACTATTTTAGGCCCAATTCAAATGTTGCTGATTTTGTGTTGCGAAGTACCGTTCATAAAAATCGACTCGTTTAATAAATTTTGCATGAGTTATATCAGCTCCTGCTCCTCGATAGTCCCATCTAAAACGGTTTCAAAATTTTCAATTGTTGCAAACTGGATATCACATAAATAAATATGGACTCGTTTAATAAATCTTGCATGTATAATAATCATAACATTAGTAATAAGTCAACAACGTGGCTATAGTACACAATGAAATCTTTTTGTGCTATAATATACAGGACGGTAAAGATATTTCAATAAAATAATGCGAAAAAGAAGATAGAAAGATTTATATGTTGGCTGGCATAATCAAATGTGTCACGACAAACGTAAACCCTCTCGATTCCATTTCTTTGTTTTAAAATTGATACTGTTCGTTTAAGAAAAATTTGATAATTTGTTTCATATATATTTTTCTATCAAATATTTTATCTGAATCAATTTTTTCCTGTAATGTATTTGGTATCAGAAGACCTGGTATGTGGAAATTGTGATATTTGATGATTGATGGTTGATGACTTTATATATTGTATCGAAAAAAACTATATCAAATTTATAAAAGAAATAAAATTTGACTAAATAATTTCCATCTTAAGAATAAAGTATTTATCCATTGGTATTTATATCTTCAAACACCACCTAATGAAGTTTGAATGAGAAATAAATTATACTTATTTTTGTTAGATTTTGCTCATATTTTTCATATGTTATGCTTTTTATTATTATTTTCTTCTTATTCTACGTTTTTATTCTATTGTAAAGATGTATTTAAGGTTTCTCAATTATTTTGGAATTTGGGAGGTTATTTACACAATATTTCTCAACTACTACTAACTTAAAATACTTCTACACATGGGACATGTATTAGCACGTCACTGTCTAAGATAGTTGAAAAGTGAAACACATGCTTACAAAGCGTATCCGCCAATGGCACATTCCTCATCCTCTTCAAAACAGATAGCATATTCCTTATCCTCTTCCCCATGTCTAAATTCAAAATATTTCCTCAAAATAGGAACTAAATTTACTAGTTCCCTCAAAATAGGAACTAAATCACGTCTTTACTTAGCTAAAAGATACATTAAACATAACAAAATCAATTATTAATATGGGGACCAACATTATGTAGAATGTTATGGGTTGGTAATTAAGTTTTGTGAAATTTTTAAGATTTTTAATTTATATTTATCAAATATTTTTTTTTTGAGAAACAAAAACATACATGGATCTTTAAGCAACCATACCGATTGAGAGACATGGTATTACAATGGGTAAAAATCATACCTGGTAATGGTTTGAATTGCAGATTACTGATTCATGGCATTCTTTTGGATCAAATTCATTACCAGGTATGATTTTGACCAAGAATAATAAAAATAAGTATAACATATGAAAAAATGAGCAAAATCTATAAAAATAATTATAAATATTTTCATGTTTTAATTTATATTCTAATTTTTATGGAAAATAATAGTAAATATATATGACCAATTTTCTTAAATACCATCAAAACAAGTTTTTAGGCTAAATTATAGGCTTAAAACTTGCATATCAAGAAAAAGGAACACAATAGAAAAATGTATGTGTAAACAATGACGGTTAAAGAAAATTTACTTTTATTTATAAAATATTGGAAATTACATAATCTTAATTACTTGTACCACACTACTACTAACCTATAATACTTCTACATGTGAGACATGTATTAGCACGCAATTGCCTAAGATAGTGGAAAAGTGAAACACATGTTTACAAGGCGTATCCGCCAATGACACATTCCACTGAAATTCTTCAAAATAGATAGCATACTCCTCGTCTTTTTTCCCATGTCTAAATTCGAAATATTCCCTCAAAATACGAACTAAATTTACTAGTTGATGCTCGTTACCAGAGCTTTCTGAATCCGACTGAATAATAGCATCAGTAGATGCGTTATCATCGTCATCATCATCATATTCCCCATCCAAAACAATTTTCCACCTAGGTTGATTTCTGAAGCAACGAAAAATTGAACAAGTAAGTAAACCTACACCTAAACCTCATCGGCTAATCCTACACTAAAAATTGCATAACCCAGATACAAAAAGATCGAGTTATTGTCTGGAGACACACTACCTTCAACAATCCTAGACATCTAAGGTTTTCAAGTGTGAAACAAGAAAGTGAGAGTGATGAAGAAATGAAATCAAGAGTAAGAGAGAAAAAGAACAGAAGAAAGGAACGTTTCTTATTCATCATTTTTCCTCTACTGGGAAAACCAAGAAACGGGAGAGTTTTCAAAAGCTAAAACTATGCTATACAAGGAAAATCATAACATAAATAAAACAGCAAAAATGTTGTAGTTTTAGGCGTACCAACATGTTGTAGGTAAAATGTTAATGTTACCGTTTTAATTTAACTCCGAAGAGTGAAGATTGAACCCGGTAGCCGGACCCGGTTTATTTCCCGCAAATTAACAAGTTTATTTCTCGGCCCAATTTCGTTTTGGGCATTTAAAAAAATTAGGGCTCAGCATAATCGTAGATAAGAAGAAGGTGAGTGGAGAAAGAACGGCTGCTTCAGCCGTCGGAGAAATCAGAACGCATTCGGAGATTCGCCTGCAAACATGGTTTGTCATCTTCTTCCCTCTCTCTTTAGTCTCGTATTCGCAAGCTGTTGCTTTGGATAATTTGTCTCTCAATCTATGATTCGTGCTATAGCGTAGCCAATGTGGCTTTCTGTTTTCTTAAAATGTATCTTACTGGAAACTGTGATTTTATGAGTCGATTAAAAATCGCCATTACCGAAATCAGGAGACTGTTTTACTTGTTGAGCTATGCTTAGTGATCACCAATGTTGTAGTTTTTACCTATTGAACTCGAATTCAGTGTTACTTCATCCTTGTGAAACAATTGGCATGTGTTTTTTTCTACGTACAGTCTTTCTCTTGAGATTTTCTG